ACTTCGACTATGGCGTTGTAAAAGCAGGGGCAACCACCTTTATATGATGAAGATAAAAGGTTTAGCTGGCTATTATTTAATTTTTGCAACCTTTGTTTTTCTATTTCTTCAGGCCAAAATAATCTTAATCCTAGGCCATTATTTCCAGGTCCTAAACTTTTAAAAGCAGCCATCAAGTTAACAGCGGCCGCTTGCGTTGGTATACTCAATTCCCTAAATGTCGATTACGAACAAATGAATAGTCAATAACTCATGTTACCGGTTAATATAGAAATCCCTTACATCATTAAACAGATACAGCTATAATATTTGATATTATAGGATTTAAAATGGTTTTGGATTTAGTTAGATTTTAATATTGAGGAAATGAAACTACGTCTTCATATGTACGCAATATTTCTTTGTATAAGCTACGAGATAGATATAGCTTAAATGCTTTGAATGTCATTTTTTAGCAATGTCGTAGCGAATTTCCATTTTTCTTACGTACGCAAAATTCCAGTTGCTCATTCTGCTACATGTATATCTGGTCAGGCTAACGGAAGCATTACTATTTACTTCACGAACTTTCTTTAGAAACGCCTAAGAAACATAATGAGCAGTGCTTATTAACGAAAATCAGAAAATTATTATCAGCACTTACTATATTATAGGCCTAACTAGAACTTTTAAAATACACCATACAGAATATGTAATTGTAAAGTAACTATGTATTGTAAGTGTAGGCTATTAGTCATGTTTAATACGATGTGCGGTAGTATCGTTTCTATATTTATCTTGCGACATATTTAGTAGCCCATAATAACAGATTTTAATTGTTGACTCTATGCTAGAGTATGCAGCTGCGAAGGCTGCGGAGAGTATAAAAGCAAGCGGCATTAGATTATCTGGTTGTTCGTTCTAAAAGTCTTTCAGTAGTTGCATTCAATCAGTTCAATATATTCTGCTATGTATTAAAGCATAATATAATACCTCTCTGACATGGTCTTCTATTCCATAGGCGTATAAAACATACGAATTTGGACTAAGGTATACAAAAATCATACATTTGCTTAAAGATGTAAAATTGTTTAATCTACTTTACAATTCAATTGTAAAGTCTTGAAAAGATAGCGTGCAAAAAAGTTTATTTTAAAATATAATTTTGTCTTCTACAGATTTACTGTGGTAGTGACAATTTCTTTATATCTGTAAGCATTACTAACTATAGCTAGTTGTAACTTGTAGTAATCACGCCGACGGAGTTGATACGCTATTTTCTCTTCTATTAGCTATAACACTGGATATTAATTATATTAATACAAATAAACCTTATCAGGAAGGTGATTGTAATATGAGGATAAAATGACGTATAGGTGAAAGAAAACTGCTTAGAAATTTATCTTAAAAATAAAATCATTCAGCTATTACGTTTCTGATTCATAAATATATAAATAATTGAAAACCTAAGCTATCAAACTATTTGATGCATGAAAATGGATAAAATTTGTAAAATATTAATAACTAAATTTAAGACCTGCAATGCAATAAGTCGTTAAGTAGCCTAATTTGGTCCGATATTTGCAATCAAGTAGGTACTATAGTAACCTTACCTGGACGAAGACATATTTCGTAGTAAACAGTGGAGCTAAAATTTAAAAATGTAATTCCTAAAAATTTCAATTTAAGTTTTACAAATTATACATGCTAGTGAAAAGCACCATTAAGTTTGACAAATCGAACTTCTAGAGTTAATAAACTCTGTCAATGATCAATCTCTGAAAAATGTTCGCTTGCCGAAGTAACAATAATTACTGTATATTGTAGAACTATTACTAACAATTTCGGAGTAAAATCTTGTTTAAGTCTAACAGATAGAAAGAAACATACATTCGAAACGTGATGCAACAAATACAACTGGTACACTTTTAACTTTCCGTAATAATCCAAAACTGTGCATAGTTAAAACAACAAAAACTGGATTTATTGACTTACACCGATGAGAGAAGAAAGAAATTTACAGACCACGCCTTACCTTTTTGGAATCAGAATTATGCTATTAACTTCAACAGTTAATAAATTCTTTAATTATAAGCATTCTAGTACTTAGAAAACGACGAATAATGGTCACTTTTTTATTGTGAAAAATTAAAAGTTTCACTGGCGTTTATTGTGCCGATTTTAGTTACTTATTAATCATTTCTTACTTCTACCGCGCCCTATTTGATCGCAATTTACCTCTAGATATGTGTAGATTATTGTTTTTACTAGTGAATAATTTTTATTAATAAGACAAAGTAATTTGTTAATATCTATTAAGTACATATGGTCATAGCCATTGGTAATAACTTGAGTCCAATCTATGTTAAGTTAGCTACTGCTTCGATGCTAGTTATTGATCGGAGTATTAAAGTTGGGGTGCTTATTGCAGTGCTACACCAAGTGCCTGAGAACATCAAAATTAAAAAATGTCGCTATTCAAAATTTAATTAACGATGGCTACTAGCATTTTATTGAGACGCTGACTGCACGAATTAAAATTTGATTCTACAGAACAACGTAATGTGCAGTAAAATAATAAGTGCTGAGCAATATAGACTACAGAGAAAGTATTATTGTTGCGCCGAGCTAGTAAAATTTGAATAAAATTTTTGCGAATAATGAATAAGTGATGTAGAGAAACTACCATGTTGAAATATTAGCCAATAGGATTGTGCCATGCAATTGGACAAACTGTGCTTTTATCATATTCGCTGACGTTGCAGAAAATTGGATAGAACGCAGACTCGAAAGCTGCCTATCTAGCTACCAAGCTTCGTAATCAACCATCATTTAAAATCAGATATGGCATTGACTTGTATTTGAACCAGTAATCATTTATAATCCACATATAATCAATAATAGTAAGCTAACATGATACATTAGCTCGTTGTGATGCATATCAAAATTTTTACTCGTCTACATGGGTTCGCGTATGTACATCAGTTGTGCAAAATCAACATGAACTGTCTACAAAACATACAATAGAACTGCAAGTGATTTGCTAAGTAATAACTAAGAAAATGAATTTCAACCGTTAAAGAATTTTTAACACCAATAATTATTTAATTAATTATAGTGAATTCATGCAAAGGCATACTGTATACGTGGTGTGTAGTAGATAAGCATGTATCAATGGTTATCATTTGATACTATGCCATATGCACAAAATAAGAATAACGGTGAAACAGTCGACTATTATGTTCTCGAAAGCAATCACATTTACATTTCTAGGTTACAAAATATACATTTTTGGACTTTTAAGAAGATTAAGATTCTATTCTATAATTTCTTCCACCTATGCCTATTGTGTAGGATGGAGAACCGAGGATTTCTGATTCATGTATAGTATAATATAAAAAATGATGTTGTAGTGCAGCTCCAAATAAGTACGAAACTAAGATTATGGCATTGCACGAAAATTAATAAATTGTACGCTAGATTGTAAGATTACATAAGTGTGTGATTTAGGAAGATGTTTACGGTACGTATTACAGTACTCTATTTTTTAATTAATTCCCAATTAAAATCATGCCAAGGACGGAATTAGCTCTTTTGGTAAACTGTAAAGTGTAAATCAATTGCCAAGATTGGCAGAAGCAAACAATCAGAAAAATGAATTTCAGCAGTAAAGCTTCATTCTTGATATTATCGTAACATCACCTGTCCTGTAAACTACTGCTTGTTACCTTGTAGTGTACCCACCATAGAATGTGGGGAATCCTAGATATCGTACAATACTATTTACGGCTTATTTACATCTTATTTACTGTACTAGATTAAGATCACATGCTACAAATGTTCACGTGCATTAGGATATGGTATTAAAGTTATGTTCGTACTAGAGCTGATCTGTTGTCGCAGTTCTTACGTCTCGTTAACGTGTGTATGATATCGCGCTTGGCATGTGCTCCCAATAAAGGAGACTAAAGGAAAGCTCAAAGTCTCAGATTCTTGATCTCGTTACAGATATCAATGATTAAATATTTAATTGCTATAGACTCATGCAATATGCTCGAAATCCGAATGATAGTGAAACAATCACCAATAAAATTCTTTAATGTAATTACTTTTGGACTTGTAAGAGGTTCAAGGTTCTACTTATTCGCTATATTTTGATTTTCTATAATTAAAATTATGCAAGAATAGAATAAGCTTCTCGTTCATACTTTCATTAAATGGTAAGAAATGCTATAAGATCAAGCCAAAAATCTTTTGTATATTTTATAACACTTTCAATTTTAGTTAAGAAATAAACAAATTTTGTAAATTGTTAAATCAAGAAATCCTTTCCAGAAGAACATAAAATTCGACAAGTTTCCATTAATTGACGTATAATCGTGAAAGATGAATGCAGTACCAGAATTTAGAAACGAGTAACTATCGTAACAGCTTGATGTTAATTTTTTCGCTTTAAAAATATCATATAATGTATAATACGTTAGAGCTTATATCATTTTTTTTAGGTTTCGGTAGGCCAATGGTCACTTTTTCGAGCTATATATCAATTAATCTCCATTCACTTCAATTCAGCAATTTTATTTATAGATTGAATAGCATCAAAATAATTTTATAATTTATATACGCATACATAGTACATCCACGACATAACTATTAGTGTATTTGAGTAATGAGTCAAGGAAATCCAATATTTAAATGGTAAAATTACTTGCAAATTAAATTCATTACTCTGAAATCTAATGTTGTTAAACAATAATGCTAATACATCAAACGCAATCAAGCGATTTGCGTCTATCATGCATTCCTTTATAAACTTGCTTTCTATTACTACCGAAAAGTAATTATATGGTACTTGACATCCAAACTTCTGATATTTACACAACCATAACCAAAATTACTCCTTCGTTGTCTTATTAGATATTTACGCGAGCACATTAAGAGCAAACTGGTTTTTTTGTATATGCTAGTTTAACATCTGATATGCGGATATTTAATACGGATACACCATCATACGATCAAATTTATTCGACTCTACCTTCAATAATATACTCGGGATACGCAGAATTATCATTAAAGACAATAAACATACGAGGCTTATTCTTGTGATCTACAGCTGAATGGACGCGTTCCCCTGAACTCCCAGGGATTATTGACAAAGTAGGTTTATTTCGATCTACTGAATCATCATAGATCCCTGTTAAAACCCGAACCAGTAGCAATCTATGATTTCCTAAACCACCGCCATAACTCAATGATAATTGAGCTTGTACTGCAAAATATGTTCCGGTACCATATACTGAGCCTATACAATTCAATAAAAAAAGCATGTATAGTTGTATACCATTAATTTCTAAGTAGCTAAGAAGTACTACCGTGTAATATCCACTTTACGCCTATTTACCACACTAGTTATGATTATCTTCTTGTGCGTTTATAGCAGTAGTTATCATTTAACTAACCAATTGATTTTCCTGAGTAATCCCTATTGAAACCACCTTGACATATCTTATCCACGTATTCTGTTTTAGTACAGTGAAATAAATATCTTTCAGCTTGAGTTCCAGGCTTGTATTTTTGTATTGCTTTGGTCACATCAGCCTTCATGGCTTGATATTTTTGGTACAAATTCCAATTTTGAACCCTTCTTAATCTACTAACGCAATATTTGGGAGCACTTGCCTTTATCATAGCAGCGACTTTATTTATTTCCTGTCTGTCTGTGACATAAACTGTGCTAAAATACCCATCTTCGATTTGATTTTCTGACACATTTTCCCAATTATTGGGTATAGGAATTGCAATACCTAATTTTACAGTTATGGTAGACAGTTAAAGTATACTTTGTTAAATAATAAGTTTGAAAATGAAAATGCAAAGATTTCAAGGACTAATATTAGGTCTCGAACTGATGAAAAAAATATTCTGACCATTAACTCCTATCTGTATATCTGTATTCGCTGCTAAACAAAAGATACTAAAACTCGCTATAATACTTCTTAAGTGCAATTTGTTTCAAGAGTTGTGAAATACCTGCTGCAGAAAATTTTCCTATTGGAAATTCTTCATTATCATCGAGTTTAATGTGCATATTCTCAAAATCGATCACTTTAGTTTCTGAATCAACGTAAAAATTCTTTTTTGCTTTATTTTTCTCGTAAATCTTAAAATTTCTTTCGATTTCATAGTTTAAGTTGGAATCGAATTTCCATTTAGTTTGACCAATTTTTGCGTACCACTTGGAAATATCCAATCCAAATTTTTGCTCACTGTTCAATATTTCCCCTAGGAAATATTGCTTACTTAGTTTATGGATAATAGCCATAGTGTTGACTATATCTTTTTCCAATCCCTGTATGTCTACAATTTTTCTCATTTTTTGACTGCTTAGAATAGTATTAAACTCCGACCAGCATCGTAATACGAGTCGATACCAACAATTTGTATCAATGACTTGGAAATAATCTTCATTAGAAATCCTGCGATGCGACCAAGTATCCATGGATTCATTCATTTTTGATTTTAAACGCTTTAATACAGCTTTATCTGAAGCAACATAAAGTATACTCACACCCGATGCTAGAACTGGCACGCTGTTCGTAATCTTCCATCCAGACGGGAAAGCCTCTTTCTTGATTTTCTGTTGCATCCACGTTGCTATTTCTCGAGCTCGATCATCATACCCAATAGCAAAATTAATACGCCTTATACTAATTTCAGATTCACAATGATCGACTATAAATTCCTTAATACTGTCTACTAGGCTATCAATATGGCTAGCATCCATGTTAATACTTAACAAAGGAATTGTCACGGATTTTTCATCGTTTGCATTCATACAAGCTAATACAGTCTTAACACCAACCAAACAATCGTAAATGCAAACCCGATAGAGATTACAACCTAATATATGTATGATTTGTAAAGTTTGTGATGTATGCGTTCCATCATTCGCAATTTGTATAGTTTCTGAAAGGGAATCTGAATAACTATGCTCAGAGCATAGAGCTGTTACATCCATGACAGCGTCTGCTTTCAAATCATCAGCGTTGCATTGATAGACCTCCACAAATACTTTTCTATTATTAGCTTCATACTGAGCAGAGAATAGCGATTTACTTTCATTCTCTAATTTTATACTTCTTTGCGAACTTGTAACCTTATGGACTAGCTCTTTTTGATGCAGTAATTGGTTTGCTAATGGGATAGCAGATGTTAGCGCTTTCTCGAAGGCATCAAGAGTTTTAACATCGGTTGGATAGATGATAAAACTGATATTTTGTAGATATTTTGGTCTGTCAAGAGCAAATTCAACTGATATTCTTATCATTTCCTTCGCAAGCTCATCAATATTGATGCCGGCTTCACCTGTTCCAATAGCAGGTATGGCAATGGATTGCTTATGTTCATCAGCTCCTTTTACTAGACAGTTTTGGACACGATTGCTAAGCCACTAAAATATTATCATGGAGAAATACACGTATATCGATCAGTATTGAATTAAGCGTGCATCGGTGCAGCAACTGAATATATAATTTTAATTTTATCACTATCATAATCTCATACAATAAATTCAATCTCAATTGCATACTCCACGTACCAGTAATGATCGGTCAGAGCTCAAGAATGGAATGTGATATACTGCTTTACAACCAAAATAGAACCCACTTGTATAACCAATACTGTCCACTGCAAGAGATCTTAGTTGAGAACGACATTCTGTAAGATAGGAACTTCCACCAGCTCTATTTAGAGCTTTAGCAATGTTACCATGGTCATAATCATTGAGGTCAATGGAATTAACGATAGTATCACACTAGCATAAACGAAAAATTGAAATGCAGTTAATTTTATCATAATACATATCATAACTCAAGTATGGTACGGTAACCAAAATGCCTATCCTTGCGTTAGAATCTTTTAACATAGATCTATTTGTGGCATTTTGATTTACCTGAGCTCCTTCTTTTTCAATTCTCCCTTTTACCAATCTAATAGTAACATTATTGACTTCCACTTTATCTTTTTCATTTTGTAAAATAGAAGAACAAGTTTTGGTGGTAGTTTTTGACGAAAGAGCGGTTCTAGCGTTTAGCACAGAAGATTGATAGACACCAGATTTTTGTCTATCTTTTTGTAAGTTTAGATTAAATTTACCTTTTCTCTGTGACAGCACACTAAGATTGGAATGGAATGAAAAAAGAAACGCTTATTACAGAGACTTGCATAGGAATAATTGCTAATGCTAGTATTTACAGAATATTATGAAATACTCAAATCTACGCTTACTACTAAAGATCGACATGAATATGCAGTGGATACCATAAACGCTGCAAACAGTATGCAAGGAATATTATGTAACACTCAACTCTACTTATATAGCTAAAAATTGACAAGAACGTATCGTAGATATCATATATCATTTTAATAGTATACATAGAATATTAAGTAATATTTAGCACTAATTATATTACTAAAGGGCGAATGCGTGTATGATGACTATCGCTTAAGCTAACAATATTATACACGGTATATTATGAGATATTTAGCTCTAATTCTACTGCTAAAGATTCTCATAAATATACAATAAATATCCTACACGCTGCAAATTGTGATCCTATCTGATTTTGGACGTCTGCTAAATCGAATTTCCATATCATTACAATTGCACAAATGGTTCTTCATAGCTTACCGATAATTTTCATTACTAGCGATGGCTATAATGCACGGCTTTGTATCTTTTAATCTATCCAACTCATCCATACTTAGACAACCGGTAAAAAATTTCCCAAGTCTAGAATACTTACTGAACGGACCTTCTCTTTCCACCACAATTTCAGCTACCATACTTTGAATTTTATCATGTATAGCTGTTTTATAACCTTGACGTTGTGTGATAAGAATATTTGCAGTCGTTACATTGATATCAGGATCATCTTCCAGTACTTCTACCATTTCAATTTGACATTTAAATTCCTTTTCCAATCTCCGAATATCATCTTGAAAATACATCCGTAGATATTCAATGATCAATGGAGGGTTAATATTAAGGCCGAACTTCATCAGCCTATCATTTTCTATTTTATCTGCAATAGCTTGAATTACTTTATCAACAATAACTAGAGGGCCAGTTGCAGTTATATTGCAAGTTTTAGTCCTATTATCTGATATTTCAGCTTCCAATTGAACCTTGCAGCACAAGGGAATACTTTCTTGAAGTTGAGTAAGAAATTGATTTTGATCCCCTGATATAGGTACATTAGTAATGTTGAATTTTTTAGACTTTACGCAGAAGATTTCTTTCAAAATTTTCGTCGCCTTTTCATGGACTTCAGAATCCAATGCAACTATGGAAATAGAAGTGCTATCCTTCATCTTGAAGACACCAGCGCTAATATTATCGTCTTGGAATTTCTTATTAATAAGTTCTCTCATTTCAGACTGTTGCGCGAGATAATTGCCTATTCGAGTGGGTAAATTGTCTATTCCATCGATTACACGAAAGAATGCAAACAATTTTTCCGTAAGATAAATATGTGTTCCACCGATCATATAGGCTATTAATTTGCTTCCATTATTGCCATTTGCAAATTCAAATGAAGCTTTATAACCTTCATCCCTGATCTTCTGTTCTAGATTAACTTGTTGCAGAAGAAAGCAAACTTTCTCGGGTACATCATATTCTTCCCGAACCATATCTATATCAGATACCGGAGAAATTGTAGTGTTAGTAAATTTAATCGTAAGAAGATTTCAATTCTATCCTGAACAGATGTTACTTCTTTAGACCTATTAATAGCAGAATTGCAATCAAATTCGATGCATGCAATAACTCAGCTCTATTCTACCTTCAATTATCGGATACTTACTATCTGCCGTATCTTCATGATCTACCCCATCATCTGCTAAATTTCCATGATCTGTTTCGCTATCTACCGTATCTTCATGATGTACCCCATCTTCTGCTAAATTTTCATGATCTGTTTCGCTATCTGCTGTATCTTTATGATCTATCCTACCATCTGCTAAATTTCCGTGGTCTGTTATGCTATTAGTCATATCTTTATGATCTGCAACACTATCGGCTAAATTTTCATGATCCGTTTTGCTATCAACAATATCTTGATGATCCATTTCGCTGTTGGTTATCTCTTCGTGTTCTATTTTACTAGGTGCAATAGCTTCTCTTACACCTTCTACACCTTCGTGAGATTTATGAGTGTTTTGACTTTCCATTAATTCATGCTTTAATTGCTCAATTCCATTCTGATTATCAATTTCAGGTTGGTCGACAGTATTTGTTTCCTCGGTCACAGATAGATTTTTGGGCAAAATTGTCGATGGCAGCAGATGGTTAAGTTCGCTTTTCAAGAGATTTTGAAGTCGGGAAGCCTCTTGCTTAAGAAATTTAGACTTAACATTCTTAGTAAATTTCACAGTAATGGGTTCTTCAATTAAAACCTCGAACTCATCCAAACATAGTACAGCAGTAAGAGCACCGGCTTGTCCGTTATATAATACATGTCTAAAAAAAGAATATTAATGTTAGTAACTTTAATTTTAATGCTACTGATCATAAGGCGTAACACTACTGAAGTTTAAACTACAACATAATATACGGTTTAAATTGTCAGAAATTGTAGAATAATATAATTTGTAATCTTCATAATATAATAATAATAAGATGAATAGCTCAATTGTCAGAATGAAAGACAAGCAGTAAAATAATCATTATAGGCGAGAAGTCTTATTACGCTTTATCAGATTTTATCATTTTCAAGCACGATACTATTCCAGCTTGACTCGCCAAATGAAAGAGCTCCATCTATAATTATAATAAAGATGAAATTGGATCAAATGATGTTATCGATAAAAATACCATGATATATAGTGACGTTATCAAACTCCAAGCGTAAAACTTAAATTATACTAGTAGATTTCTTGTATATATAGAATGGTAATTATGGCTGTAGAATAATAATAGAAAATCATTGCTTTGGTTAACAAATTTTCAGAGGTTTTACCAAGTTGTTGTTTTTAAAATATTCATTAATCGATTAATTCATCTATTAAAAGAATGATAGTAATCTCTATATAAGATATTATTTATTAACAAAAATTGATTGAATAGTACTGAATTGAGCTAAAATGGCTAATAGTCAGATAGATTATACACGTTGATCAAAAAAATTGTCAGCAGGGTATAAGGTAGCCTTATACCAATAACATCAATAAAAAGCTATTGGAAGAGCAATTCTACTCAATATCAAGTTACAAAGGAGATTTCCGGATCAATAACGGATAACGACGCTTATATTATCTCCTTGTGTTACAGCTTCGGTTGTGATGAATAAACTTTTTTGCTCATAGATAACATAAATCCGAGCATTTATTTACGAAGTACTTTATTCACCTCATGCATTGATTCAGGAACATTAGATATTGTGACAGCAGCCGAAGTATTGGCCAATCGTGATGAATTCATATTTTCGGTAACTTTAAGCTTTCTAAAGTTACAAAATATTTATAATTTAGCTTATGATTAATAGTCATAGCTGAAATGATTACTGATCTGGAAATTTGCATTATTATGAAATCAAACCATACCCAAAATAGCATAACAATAAAAGCAGCTCGTATTTTTCAACTAGAACTGACTAAATTCAACTTACTTATCTTCAATTTCTTTAATGTAAAAACAGCCTATTTCACTACTATTCAATTTATTCATATAACCATCGACCTTTGCATTTAATTGTCGACGTTTATAATATCCCATTTCAGCAGGCCAAAATACTCTTAATCTCATTCTGCCAATTCTTAAACCTCTTAACCTACTCATCAATATTTCAGCCTCTGTTTTTGAGTAAGCAATCAATTCCCTAAATCAATGTTACGAATAACAAATGAATGGAATATCAATGATCCATACAGGCATATATAATTTATTTGGATTTTACGTTTTCAATTATCGATTCATTTAAATTTAATAGGAAATTTAAAGGAATTAAAATAAAATTCAAATGTTACGTAGCGCTAACAATGTTCTAAAATCTATAGATGCAATAAATACAGCAGTTCATTTTTATAAAACACGACTAATGCCTTACTATTTGATCAAATATCGCAATATATTTTCATTATAAGAAAGGTGATATTTATTTAGCCAATATTTTTATATTTGTGACTGAGTTTAAACGTATACAAGATAGTAAAGTTCAATATTGTGGCATAACATTTAGAAATTTCTTATTATTTTACTTACGAAATTAGCCAAGACAGCTTCTTATCACACGTACATTTAATCATGCAAATTTCTGTATCAGGGCTAATTTCATTAACCGTCCGAACGAATTGCTGCAAGAGTAAATTAAAATTTGTTAGCAAATCAGCCATTGTTTATATCGCTCCTATGAAGGTGCTGATATGTATCGTTCAAAAAATTTGTAGTTAGTAAGGTACAAATAATTCTCTGAAGATTGAGAGCTTTCTAATTATATAACAACATTATCCAATAGGGTCATCAGAAATTACTATTGTCAAGTAGTGATGATCAGTTTATAATAGCTATCAGTATTACATGAGTACGTTATTCCGGTAAACACCTTCCGTCATATAAGAGTATGAGCTATTCAGAGCTTTGCCAATGCGAAAGCCACTCAAGTAATTAACACTTACTGTAGATATTCGTAGAAATAAACTGTAACTGATGAGTCTAAACATACGAATTTTATGGAATTATGGGAAAATACACTTGTCTACATACACCAACTCTTCTCTAGTATATGTCTTGTCTGCTATTTGGCAAAATGACCGGCCTAAATCAGCAGTGCTATTTTAGTGCTACTTTGATAATAAAATTAATAACTGAAAATACGGAAATTGTTTCTAATTGCTAAAATGAAGGCTTCTAATACCTAATTGGAGGGATCAAGAAAGCTATATTCAATTTTATCCTAACAGTCAAATTCTATATCTACCAATCTACTAGATCATTTCAAGTAATGAAATGAGTAAAATAGTGTAAAATCATTTGTTACAGTTTAGCACTTCTCATTATTTTCGCTAAATAAGATAAGACATCAGTATTAAGGGAAATTCAGATTATGCTTAACCATAAATAACAGTTTTCCATTGAAAGATATTAAAGTCTGGAAGAAGTCTATGTAAGTAACATTTTAAAGTACAAGAAGAAGAATAATAACTTATGATTAATTTGCTAATCAATAATATTTGATTACAAACTGGATTTCCTTCCTATATTACCCGTATAGCTCGTTTATGTATTCCGCAGGCATAAATAACATTCCATTCTGATCTAAATTATAATTAATAAAAATTCAGTTTAAATGTCTTCGACGTCAGATATCATTTGCAATTATTTTTTCCATATTATCTTTAATTTAAAATTCAAATCTTTGAAGCACGCCAGTACTTAGATACTTGATCCGAAATTGTTAAGTTTAGCCAATTAACAAATTTTAATTTATTTCTGCTATTCCAAATATTTATTGGTAACTTAAAACGTTTACTTCAAACTTTTTTTCAATTTATATTGTAGCATTAATAATGTAAAAGATGGAGAAATTTTCTATGTCCTTCGTGAATTTATGTCTAAAGAATAATTGTTTCCAGTCACTGAATGGCATAAGCCATGGATGACTAGATACTTTACTTAGGATCTAGTGGCTCGTACATAAGGATACAATTACATTGCTAAAAATCCTCTGGAATGGGCAGACTTTTAGCTCAACTTTATTATTGCTTGTTGTGTGGAAGGTAAATTAAGATACAGTAATCATTGTATTATATACAAGACAGCACAATTCGATATGCATAGCAGGCAAAACGACCATGACAACTGTAGTAGTTGAAAATAATAATATTACTGTTGTGATGGAGGGTTCGAAGAGTCAGATAATGTGGTTTTAGTTGCCATGCAGAGAATTGCACAAGGAGCTTAAGAAAAGAGGATACTTTATTGTAGATAGAAGTTAGGTACAGTGTGATAATTGTGGTAGGTCATTGTGGTAGTTGTCGTGAGTAAAGTGTGAATACTAACTGTGACTAATAATACAACTTGACAAATCTAAGGTAGAAAACGGCAGTATTTATAGCTATGGCATTAGAACATATACAGAGAATATGATTATGGATTAGATACAACATATACCATAACAGGTTATAGAATAGCAGATGATTGTAGAAAATAGCGAGGACTGTAATAACTAAATGTAGTAAGTCATATTTGAATGTAGAGCGAACAGACTGTAGATATATGTCTAAATATAAGAATATAGTAACAGTATATTCTAAATGCACTACAACTTTAAATAAAAGTTTGCTAGTATAGCATTTTAGTTCTACTTCAAAACTTTTGATAAAATGAAAGCTGCATTTTAAAAATTGGATATTTTACTCAAATAATTCTATAGCCATTATCATTTCTTACTTACAATCAGCCATAACAATTTTATTGCCAGCTTACCTTGCTGAAGCCATGCTTTGAAGTGAGAACTCAGAACTGCACTTACAAATTTTTGAACCCCCTTTATTCAAGCTTGAACATAATAAATTAAATCATGTAAAATATATTCCCGTTTACTCAATCCAGACTTTAGCATTCACGAAACTTCAATGCCTATTTTAAGTAAACCGTACAGCAATATTCAGGTATAATAATATCTGAAAAATAGCATAAACCCTAAAATTCTAGGAAATTGTATCCCAAATTAGACTAGTCATTACCTTGGAATTACTATCTTTACGTAAAATTTTACATCAAAAATACAAAGTAAAGTATAAAATACAGAAAATAGATATGTATAGAAGACTTGAAATTGAATTACTAAAGTTCTAAATGGAAATACGAATGACGTTATGCTCAGTTGCTGCAACGATGAGTTTTCAGCCAAAAATTTGACCTAGTCATTAAATTAGAATAGTAATCCTTGCGAAAAGGTTCACTTCAAAATAGCCGTCTAAATAATTTCATTTCTCTAGAGATGGTAAAATAGAATTAATAAGCTACTCCTTCACTCTCAGTCATCTAATTCACCAACAATAATATTTTATTAATTATAATAACAATAAAATTATCAATTGTAGTATTCTATACTCTCATTATAATTTACGAAAGTAATCATCAAACAGTTAAGAAGGAATTTTGAGTCAATAACCGCTTATTATTATATTTGTTTTATCCCCTTTGAGTAACTTTTGCCTCACTTTGAACTGCTTTATGATTGAAAGCAGAGATTGAAGAATATGCTGCTGATGTCATATATGAATAATTTTCCTATTATTAAACTTTATCCTTACGACATATTATTTCGCAAATGAGTAATAAACGAGTATATTTTACAATATTTTTTCAGCAGTCAAGGAGCAAGCTTAATTGCTACTATTCCTACCTAAATATTGCATCTCATCCTCGCTTATGGATACAAGTAATCGTTGAATTTAAATGTATTAATTTGATCGTTCCGATAATTGAATATACAAAACAGTGTAAAGCAACTACTAAATAACGAACTTTGCTGTCGTAACTAAAGCACAGTAAAATCATGCGGGGTAATGCTGAACTATTTACTTTTAAACTAGATTCGATCGCGTCGATCAGCTATTTTACTGAGACAGCATAATACTATTAAATATCAAATCTTAACTAAGTTATTTTAATATCATGATCGGACAAAGCAAACTATTTTAATTATCGACTGTTATTCACTGTCTACAGCAGCTATCAAGAGGAATAAAATTACCTCTAATCTATTGGAGCAATATTGCAACATGTTAAGCACTTGAATTGTCATAAAAATAAGAAAGTCGACTGCAATATTTAGAAAAATATTTGAACGATCAGTTAGCTGATCAAGCTGCAACCGAACATTAGTGGAACATTATTATAGATGTCAGACAGGTCAAGCGAACAGAACTTTTACATATTGACCTAGTTAATCCAGAAAAACTCTACCTACAATAAAACAATGTAATATTATACAGCCTGTAATAAGCATATATCAATGCATGGACATATATTATCGGTAACATTAACCCATTAGCGCCTGAATAGTATTGATGGAATAATAACTCAAAAAGTGTATCTGTTTTTGAGGTTTTTATGTTAATATGATAGCCAATAAATTTGCTCTAGGAAATAGGGTGGCCACTATCGTTTTTGATGACGTTGTCGTATATCAGAAAGAGGTTCAAGCATTAGGAAATGATTGATCTAGCTCTCAGACCTTTCTGTTTTTTATAATTCAAAGCCATTACTATAAATTAATTTCTATCAGAACCAATAGATGTGAAGAATCTTTATTTTGTTTTCAAATGTAGAAAAAGGGGGAAATTATGGCTTAAAACTAACCTAAAAATACGATTCTTCATACCAACATATAGCTACAATTGTCCGTGTAAGAGCAATCAAAGCACGTAGCAATAATTACCATATACTTTGCCATTTAAATGTTTGAAAACTAGTAAACACACCGTATGTAATCAATAACTAAGGTATCTCATAGCAGAAATTAAGATAAGCACTTTACCAATCTTATGTCATACTAGTATCACAAGAATCCTCTTGTTCAGTAAAATTAGTCAAAACTGAAAGTATAGCAATAGTTCATAACATCTGCTTTAAAACGTATTTGAAACTCAAACGTTTCATGCATCAAACAACGTATTCTTGTCTTAGAAACTTAAGATGAATAAAATATGACTTAAATTTGATTTTATCCTATAAAAGAAAATATATAGACAAGAAACAACATCAGTCGTAAAGCAGTTTTTCTAAATTTCTTTAACATAATACTTAACCTCTTGACAGTAAGCTGTATGCTGGCTGCTGTTATAACTCGCAGAAGTAGCAATTTTATTTGGTTATTCTCTCTTGCACGTCCTTACATAAACCGATTAATTTATGCAAATCTTCTCTTTTACAGATTCAAATATTGATATTTCAGTGTAACTTTACAAATTTGTTCATTTTATCAAGAATTATGCATATTGTTCATATCTTAAGCCTTACAACTTTCTAGTTTATGATTTATTACAGAATTTCCTTCACAAAGGTATGCCAAACTGTACTTATATATGATGGAGACGAATAAAAGTACATAAATTAGCATTTCGCATTGGTGCAATTAGAAGTTTTAATAAATTCCTTTATTATCATAAATGCTTTCTAAGCTTTACAAAAACAACATATCTAACATTAATAGAAAGCTTTATTTAACAGATTAATGGCATTTACTATAAATTTATCCTCCTCAAAACTATCGTAAGGAGAAAGTCTGTACAACATCCTTCTATTCTAAACTTTAAATCAGGAATGAGTTTGCTTTACAAGAATAACTTTCTGACATTATTCATAAATTAAGTTGATTCGGAACAAAATGAATAAGTCTATCTACTACTGTTTCAGTAAATTATGCTTACAGTACAATAAAGCATAAAGGATTATGGAGTACCATATGACATTCAACAAATCATGATACTCCCTTCTATAATACAGATCTAGTAGGCTAAATAAAAATATTTTATTCAGAATTTATCATTGTATCGACGATTTAAGTAGAATTTGTTGGTTCTAAATGTAAAATGTATTCTGGATAAGCAGCATTATCATTAAAAGTAACAAAAGTTGTAGGATTTTTTAAATCATTAACAGTAGAATGGAATCTTTCGTTAGAGCTGCCGGGTATAAATTCCAAAATAGCCCCTCCTTTCCCCGGATTTAGCGTATATATGCCCGTTAATACTCCAACCATAAACACGATATTACAACCTTTGCTGGCAGTAAGAAGGCTGGTTTCAAAAGGAGTTCCTTTACCGTAATTCGTTTCTAGTGCATGCATATTTAAAATGAAAGTTAGAAATTTGAATTTAATGAATCACTATCAAGCTTAAAATATCTAGCTTAAAATTGGATAGAAGTATCTAGCAATAAATTAAGTTTATTCAGAATAAATGATAACTACGATATCTTACCTGCAGTTGCTGTAGCGTAATCTCTGTCAAATCCTGACTTGCAAATACGAGATATACTTGATTGATCAATTCGATGATATAGTCTTCTCTCAACTGGGCTATTTGGACTAAACCGTTGCACTAATTCAGCCACTTCTGTTTTGCGCAATAGATAGCGTTGATAGAGGTTCATATTTTGAATTCTTTGCAACCTTCGCAGACGCGCACCTTGCGATCGTACAAGTTCCACAATTTCATTATATTCTGCCCCCTTTCCAAACATCAACAAGGAGATATTGACTTGAATCTTGAACCTCTTTTTCGGAAAGTGTCCAATATTGCTTACTGGGTAAATGGTCTACAAATTAAAGGGAAACATATGTATATTACTTAATAAAGTAGCATGGAAGATAAATTTTAAATTAATTAAGTAAACTGACTACAAATCAGACAGAAATCTATACATGGTTCAATATAACATGTTGACGTAGGTAGTGCATTTTTAACTAGGTACGGTAAGTTATCCACAAATTAAACGTAAACGTATGCCTTACTCAATATAATGATACCGCCGGTGTTGCATTTTAATTAGCTAAGTTATCCACAAATTAGATGGAAATGTGCATATTACTCAATGTGATATTACAATGTAGACGATATATTTGAGTAAGTACATTATCTACAAATTAGACAGAAATACGAGCAATACTAAATGTAATATTATAAACCCTATACAATATAACATGATACGCAATTTTTTTAACAAGTTACGGCAAGCTGTCTACAAAATATTAGAAAGAAATGTATATGTATTACTCAATGTAATATGATATAGTATGCGATGCATTTTAACTAGGTAAGTTGTCTACAAACTAGATAAAGAATGAATGTAACCATTTTTTTGCAACTTGATAACGTACTCGATGTATTTTAACTAGGTCAGCTATTCACGAGTTAGACAGAAATGTATTATAGAAATTACTTGATGTTATAAGATAGGCGATGCATTTCTAACTTAGTAAACTGTATACCAATTAGCCGGAAATAAATGCATTACTCAATATAATTCGATATTTTATGCGATGTATCTTAACTACGTAATTTGTCCACAAATTATACAGAAATGTACCGTATGCAAAACTTAGTGTAATACGACAGAGCATGGTAGCTAATATATCATAACCCAATCGAATGTGATTGGCGATATATTTTTAACTGGTACGATAAGTTATCTACAAATTAGACAAAAATAAATACATTACTCAAAAGTGTGTAATAGAATGTGATAGGTGACATATTTTTAATTAGGCATGAAAAGTCATCTACAAATTCGACAAAAATAGATGCATTACGCAGTAGTATATGATAAGTAGTGCCTTCTTTAGCAGATCAATTTATAAAAAAATAATTAAGATAATAATCCTACTATTCTATTTCTCAACTCTTATCGACCATAGATTAAGCATAATATTCGAATTTGTAAAAATTTCGTAGCAGAACTAAGATCGCACCTAAATTTATATTAAGGTTGAAACAGAGATTAGTATATGTTATATATATATACATAGTATACTTTACCTTCACTGAATGATTTTCGGGCTATTGTAAACAATAATTTATCCAGTTGGATTAACATGCTGGAATATTCGATGATCTTACCATCAATTTCACAGGATGATTTGCTACTATTTTTGACATAAGTTTTATAACCTCTTTCGATTTCACGGTTCATCTCAGGTGAGAAATCGTGCTTTGCTTTATCCACTGCAACATTCCATTGAGTTTTTTTTAGCATTTCATTTATCATATCTTCCACGATAGATTGGCAATCCTTCTCTTGTGCGAACTGATGAATTCTATCCTTAACTTGAAATACATCATCTTTATTGCCATAAATCATAATTTTCCCATCATCACTGTTGTCAACTATTATTGTACCAAACTGACACCATAATTCATTCATTAATGTCAACCATGCTGGATCTTGAGTAGCTGTAACAACATCTTGTTCAGTGATTTCTTCGCATGTCCAATATGATGCATTATCCACTAACTTTTTTTTAACTTGCACTATCGTATCGTCACTGTCAGCAATAATCGTAATTTTCTTACCATATTCATCATAAAGATTGAATTGCGTAATCTTCCATTGAGTTAACAATGAAGTATCATGATCAGATTTTTGCGCAATCAGTCTTTGTGCCCAGCAAGCAATTTCATGCGCCAGTTCTTCATTACCCGTTATAAAATCAAGACGTGTCAGTGAAATTTTGGCCGTTGAGTGATCATTAAGAAAGCCAGTAATAGCAGTTAATAATTTATAAATATCCTTTTCGCTACTTTCTGTACTTGCTAATGGATAGGTGAGGGAACGATCGTCGTTTTGGTGGATAGAATCAAGCAATGATCGAAAATCGTCTATCATACCATATGGGCAAAAAGTATAAATAGTCTTGCCACTTGCTGCCATTTTTTTGTTTGTATTTAAAGTCGATTCCGAGTAGCATCGAGGATATGAATCTAATCGCTCTGCTAACTTTCCTTGCTGTAAATGGCAAGAACAAACTGCTGTTGGATTTAGAATAGCAGATGTTTGAGCATCATTAATACTGCCATGACAGAAATTTAATAGAAAATGATGGATATTTGTAGAAATGACAGAAAAGAGAACTTTGAGCTGATCTTGTTTCGCTTTTTTAACAGGAGTGGTTACTTTCGTTAGCCGCTCTACCAATCCTATATCATCACCACTAGTTAAGGCAGGCAAACTTAATCCAATTTCTAAATTTTTAGCGATCCTTTTAAATATTCTATTGTAACTATAATAGGTCGGCGTATCCTCTTCAAATATAATAAAACGAACTACATTTAAGTGTCTGCCATTATTATTTTTGGCAAATTGAATTGCGCTATCGATCATTTCCTTAGCCACTGTATCTGCAGACCATCCCACACCACCAGCTCCCAAGCTAGGTATAGAAATGGCTTTTAACGATTCCTTATTTGCATCTTCTAGGCATTGGTAGATCATATTTCCTAGCCACTAAATAAAATAAAAGTCCAATAAAAACTAGGGTATAAATTAGTGCGATTGAACGAAGTTTCCTGATAAGAGAAGTAATTCATTAACTAGTTTACCGTTAATGTTCTAGAGGAACTTAAAAACGGAATATGATAGATATTTTTACATCCAAAACGATATCCCTCAGTACGGCGAAATGAATCTTTCGATAGATCTTTAAGAAAATTGCTACACTCTAACTGGTATTCTGGGCCATCAGCATTGAATATTGCCTGTGCGATTGCTCCAGCTTGAGGATTTTTCACATCAACAAAGTTAATAATGGCATCAGTCTAAGAAGAATAAATGCAAGATAATTTTCAATAAATCGCCAGTTTTACCCATCATTTACAATCCTAGAGGGTAATTTATGATATCCGAACATTATTCTTAACTTACCTGTCTACCTTCCTTTTCAATCTTTCCTCTTATAAGTTTTATACATAAGCCAGCCTGGTTGATATAAATTATATCCGATTCTTCACTTATTGATTGAGATTTTTTACATTTTCTTTTTTTATTCTTTGAATTTCTAACTGGCACATTGATAGTTTTCTCTCTTGTGAATCTTGAAAAGAAATGAATATTGAATTGGTCAGTATTAATGACAACTTCATTCTCGTTTTCAATTTTCTGAAAACTTTTAATAACGTAGGTATAACTACCTCACAAGATCCCTTTTAGCATCTGAAACAATCAGAGAATACCGCAAATTTCCTATCACTTTCTTTAGTTTTCCTTGGTTTTGGCTAATATACCGCGTTATTCGTGATAATTGACTACTATCGCTAGAAAGTGTTTCGGTAATTATTGGAATGGAAGAGATTGTCTCACTAATTTCCTTAATCTCAGTAGTTATATGCTCATTAGGGTATTTCAGGATTAATTGATGATCATCTTTATTCCCATTTGTCTCCATCGGCCGATACAGCAACTGACAATGATACTGCTCCTCAAGCGATAAAAATTCTTTTTTACAATGTTCCTTCAAGTAATGAACTTTTGCGGAAGGTAATTTTTGGATTAAAAATTCATTATAATTTTCGCCATCGAATGAATTTGAAACATTGGTTTTATACTTGTCAAGATGTTTCTTGACTTTGAGCATGACATATTCGAATGCCTCACTGCTGCCAACAATTTTAGCAGTAGCTGTTTTCTCTAGTGTATTTAACCAACATTGAATAAAAACCTCAAGTTGAGAAGCTAATTCATTGGTTAATATGTTGCAAAACGAGATCCAATTTTTCAGTAAATCTTGGCTATAAGATATTTGATAAATGTCAATTTGGATGTCAGTATTAAGAATGTCGATGACTTTGTCATATTCTTCCTTATTGACAGCAATAACCGAGATCTTCTCCCTATCACGATGTACACCTGCCATAACTTTTTTATTTCTTAATTTAGTATTCGTGTCCTGAACAATCTGTGGGTATAGGCGAAGAAAACTGGATAATGAGAGCGAGATGCCATCTTGGTTGTATTGAATATTTACAGTAACTTTTTGACGGCCTCGTGTCCAGCTTATGCATGAAACGAGTGTACGCTCAAAGTCGCTAATATCCATTTGGGGATTATTGATAATCTTGGCTACGTTCTCTTCCGAATTAAGCTGTTTAATGAGTAATATCCTAGCTGGAGTTGGAATAGTTTTTTGGTCTTCAAGAGTATTGTCAGTATTACATTTACTTTGGGGCTGTTTCTGGGTCGATAGATGGTCATTTTCAATGATCTGACCACAATCTTGAAGATTTTGATCATTGTATATTTGGCTTTCATCAGACATTTCGTTGTAAATTTTCTGTAATAATTCTTCTTCAAATGCTCTGGTGGTTTTATGCAATGAGTCTTTGAATAATAACTCCATTCTAACATCCTCATCGCTTTTAACAGGTCTACTTTTCAATTTGGTCACTGAGAAATCTATTGGTGAGAGAGAATCATTCACTTCGGCCTCTACATTTTGGAAATTATGGCTTTTCAGAGGGTATAAACCTTTCAAATCCATGATATCCTGGCTAGAGACTGGAGATATTGGTTGCAGTTTATGAATGTCATTAGGCTTTCTTTTTGGTGCCATTTCTTGTTTGCTGTTCGTTGTCTGAATATTTTCCTTGGAACAATATGTTAAACTTTCTTTGTCAGAAAATGATGGTTTATTATCATCGGTCTTTCCTTTCTGCTTTTTATTTGCCGGCTGGGAAATATACGTCAAGTCATTCCGTTCTTCAGCTGTATCCTGATTTACTACTTCATGCTTCAAGGTTTTTTTTGATAAAGGAGCTACCAATTTGAGTTTGTTGCCTTCAGAATCTTCATTGGCGATCAATTTCGGATCTCTGATAGTGTCGTCTAGACCAGTAGATGATGACGATCCTAATTTTATGTCGTCTCTATTTTCTATTTCACGCTTTAAGCTTTCTCTTGACAACGTAGCTGCCAATTTGAGTTTAGTACTTTTAATATCTTCTTTGGTTATGAGTTTTGGATCTCTGACAGTATCTTCAACGTCAAAAAATGATGATCTCAATTTTATGATATCTCTTCTACTACCATGATCTGGTAAATTCGATGTAATTTCAGTTTCAGAGACAGGCCTATCTAAATTAGAAAGTCTATCGGAATTTGGTTTCTGATCCTTGATGGTATTATCCAAGCTAATCGTTGATAATCCTAAATCTTGGATAACATTTTCATGAACCCCATTTGATTTTGATTTCAAACCTTTGCCAAAGTCGTCTAAGGTAAAAGTGAGTGATATTGACGGCTTCGTATCGCAATCGTCGCCTTTTTCTGTAAATTCTCCTTCAATAAAGGCTTTGGGAGCAGGAGGATGCAAATAAGTAACTTCATTTGAGCTTTTAAGTAGATCTTTTTCACTCTCTCCCATCGTCTGGACAATCTCTGACGAGGAGCCAAGCTGTGAAACTTGAGTGATATTATTCGATTCTTGAGTTGTCGTATTGCTATCATCATCCAGACTTTTAGATACTGAAATAGCCCTATCTACTAATTTTTCCGACCGAATTGATGATTGCAATTTGGAATCTGGTCTTCCATTAATTTTATGGCCTTCAGATTGAATTTCATCTTTAGAATACGAGGACGTAGATTGAGCATTGTGACTATTTTGTTGTTCAATGGCTACCGGCACTGCTTGAACATAATTTCTCTAAAATAGATCAAAAAGCACAAAAGCTGAAGTATTTTGCAGCTGTTTTAAAATGTCATCTTCTTCAATTTAGGGTATGTTGGTGAAATACAAAACTTTACGTTGAGCTACTAATTCTGTAGCTCAACTCTTCAAACTACCGACAATGATTGTTTTTGGATGTTCAAAGATAATTTATAATAATATTATATCGGCAGTGATTTTTTTTTGGATGTTTAATGATAATTTATAATAATATTATATCATTATAATAATAATTATCACGAAAATGTTGAAACTTTGTTTTAAATTATTCCATAATATATAATAATAATTGTTCTGAAAATGTTGAAACTTTGTTTAATATCTAGCCTAGACTGTTTTAACAAGGTGAAGTGGAGGCTATAGTACTATAAACTGTAATTGCAGAATCATTGTACAATCTGATTATTTTCGATGTCTCCCCTTCGTTCAAAAATCAAAATTGTATTCCGTTGAAAATCTTGTATAGTAGTATTTATATATATATATATATGTTATATACCCGTAGAAGGATATCTCCGGTAGTCGGCGTACCGTAAATCTAAAACTATACTTTCTAGTAATGTAGCCTGTATTCTGTACTATACACTTGTAATCGGCCTTCGTGTGCTGTACTGTAGCCTACAACTGTACCTGGACTTACTGCATCGTCTCCTGTACGATATCATTGCGACCTACTATAAAGAATTCCATGAAGGCATCGGGATATCTTCCACTTCCCCCCCCCCCTTAAAGCAGTCTTCGCTCAATTTAGCTGAAGTAATTTGAGAAAAATTGGATAGTCGGTAGTTTGAAGGGTTTAGCTAAATTATTATTCGTTCGGCGTAAGGTTTCGTTTTTCAGCAATACAGCCTACTCTTTCATGATCTACGAACTTGCAGTCGTTATTATGCTTAAAGTTCCTATTATAGACCATTTTTAAACTGTTTTTTACCTGCGTTCCTTGCTCTTGCGATTGAATTCGAACTTCAGAAGAGGACAGATATTCATGGTCATATCGGTAGGGTATGGATTCCTGTTGTACATTATTTTTGTCACTATTCCATACTTCATTTGATCTTGTCGTATCGACTATATCTTCAATCACATTGGTTGCTATCGGTAGATAACCGTCAAAGTTATTTCCTCCATAGTATTGTGGGTCTCTACGCCCAGCCAAAAGAGGAAATCTTGAGAATGTCTTCTTTCCAATACAGGGTAAGCAGCAAAGTACATTACCCATTTTTATGACTGAAATAACTTTTCTCTCAAATTGTAACAACAGCAAATTTTTAAGCTAATCTAGGCTAGACCGGTATCAATTTAAGAACACCAATCTTGCAGTAAGAGGACGTAATTATTCAGCAAATTGGAGCACGGATGGCCTTGAAAGACTGCTATTGAAGAAAAATTTTAACACAATCGATCTTTCAATCCAGAGTTTCCCCATCGTACACCAACCGGACTATCCTTTAGTTCTTTACCAATAACAATTCGGGTTTATGCAATATTAAATTAAGAATGGCGGTATTCTAAATTGAATTGATGCCCTTACAGACACAACTTCATCAGACTATGCAACGATATTCTAATCTTACTAATATTAGTCAGCAACTAAGAATCTAATCGTTATTTGTAGACAATCTCCAATAGTATAATTGAATTGCATTATATGTAAAATTTAACACTAGTATATTACAATACAGTTCTTTTTCAAAAGAATTCTATCACCAAGATAATGAATGACCTTTACTTTAGATCACAGCAGAATAGCTAGATTCCATGTCTATCTTTCTGTCCATTACAGTAACAACATAAAAGCTGAAGTAGGATGAATCCTCTACCAAGAATAAAAATAAAATACGTTATCACAGGTTTAGAAACCTTTCTACGGCTAAGACATTAGTAGCAATATGCATTCCTTCTGTCTTACTTTTAGGATATCACGTTTACGCTGTGGACTATTGACGAAATGAGTAGAGTATAATAATAATTCGATCACGAGGCTATGCACCGCTTTCAGACGTTCCTTGTTTAGACTAAAACACTGTATAATAAGCTGTCCGAAAATCTCGTTCTTATTTATTTTATACATGTTCATTATGCCTCTTTACTATTCGGCTCTAGATTACTAAGATCGACGTATTAACAATCAAGTATCTCCTATGTCTGTATATATCATTTGCTTTCTATTCGTTTTCTTAATCTTATACAACATCATTAGTATGTTGCTGCAATGGTTCAAGAACATACTGCACGATATACAAGTGTATTTTTCTACAAATTAATCAATCTATTGCTCAGACATAAAAGTTAATTGACGTAGATGAGAAATTATAATTGTAAAATTCCGATTGATAATGTTGATTATCGTCATTATCTTTACTATGCGCTAGCCAGCCTCTCTGCCTGAACATAAGAGAATATAGCTATAGACGCGAATTCATGATGGTAGAATTTAAATAGATAGCGTCGATGATTATCGTAATGGAGGCTTGACATTTTACTCATTAAAGGCAATCGGAGCACTCCATGTACATAAATCGTCTTATCGACACTTCCGCATACTTGTTATTCTTTAATTTCTAAAAGGCTACTGTATTTCTTAACAATAGTATTACACAGTATTCATGGCGCTCATTAATCAATGATAATAATTTATTCCACAATACAATATAATTAAGAGTAATAAATGCTTTTTATGCTATAAATATGCAAAACATACTGTTAGCTCCATCAAGCAGGGAACACTTCCTTATTCAAACAAAAGCTGACCAAGATCCTCCTCTTAATTGTCTGAATTGAATTCAATTCTTTTCCATAGATATTCATTATTCTCGGTGCTTAATGCACTTGTTTATATGCTTTCTATTCTTTCAATCTAACTACGCTAAAAGAATTATCAATTTTCAGCACTGCTTGTAGGATTGACTCTTATAAGCGTCATAAAATGAACTGTATAGAAATCAGGTTACAAAACTTTTAACTACCTATGATTCTACTTTCTTTGCACTCTGTTCGACTAAGCAAAACTTTGACACCAAATAAAATTGGGGAAAAACCGATCAACATTTATTAAGAAAACGTGAGAGAGTCTGATCAAGCAGCCTTCCAAATACTTAACTCCAAGTATTATAAGTAAACAAATAAAAAAAAACGGCAGAACTAAAACTGTCAACAACCAAACAACATAACAAAAAAAGAACGTTTTAACTTACAATAGTTCGACCCCTAAGGCCTTTAAAATTCAACAAGTTCTTCAAAACAATTTTCTTTTACTCTCTACTCTAAATTTTCTGATTGCACTATCATTTATAGGCTTTGCTGAGCTTTCAGTGGTATTTAAAACTTAATATTTTCTAACCAATCACTCTTAAGATCCATTTTAGAAAACTACTTTCCACCACTTAAGAAATCAAAAATTACTCAAAGTTTAGACACGATTTACCCTACGATTCCCTTACAAAACGCTATAAAACCAAACATACTATAAAATACATTAAGTTGCACTTTTAACATAATTCCTAATCTTTATACATCACAAAAGTCTAAAAATTAACTTTTAAACATCAAGATTTAGTCATAAAAATAACAATCTAACTGCTTAACAATCGCCAATCAACACAACCTCCGCCATTTGCCATCCAAAAATTTTATATGACCATTATGACTACTTTTCTGACATTAGTATAGACAGTTGATATTTTAGCATGAAGTTGTACGGTAACTATACGATTATAGCCGACATTACAGTACTTTTTTGTCCTGTTATAAATCCCCTTTCTATATGGATAGGGTTTTGTTACTAAGTTAAATTCATTTATAATCTTAATAGACTATGAAACTTCCTTTCTTTAGATTAGGGGATTGCTATTAAGTTATTCCTATAGTAATCTATATAATACCTTGTAAAATAGTGAAGAAGAAACGATGGCAGCATTAAGATTTGGCAGGGTATAACTAAAAGATACTATGACTTTCTAGGTATTTTTTATAGTAAAATAATAATAGTTACATACTTAAAGCTATAAAGAACTCTGCTTTTTGTCCTTTACTGTATGCATATGTCCAGTCATTCAACGCTATACGTAAAATTATTTGTGATCCTCAAAGTAGGACACAACTTTTCTAGGCATAGTATTTCCTTGTAGAAAAGAATAAATAACCATATGTAATAAGCTTTTATACAAGATACGCTAGTTATACCGTGAATCGAGTGCTGTACAAGTATCGCTAATTTAGATGCTTGTTTTTGTTCTTTATTATTCATTTATACACATTATTAAATTCCTTTCTATCCATGCAAGTAATCGTGCAATTTTAATTAACCTAACAGAGGATCTCGATTCTTAAAAGTGTCTGGCATAGATTGTAATGATGTTGATAAGAAAACATTTTCTTTAATTTCCTAATACTTCAAATCTGAATAACTCTTGATAACGCACTTAACCAATCTTTTATAAACATGTTATAACACTAGATTTTATAGCTCAGTTCGAATAAATTGAAGCAAAGCTCTCTCATTTTCTTCAGAACTAAATCTGGGTAATTCTTAACGGTACATGAACCAACCCTTTTATAAAGATGTTTAAAAACGAGATATTATAACTTTAATTCGAATCAATTGAAATAAAGAATCACTAGTATTCTTCATAACTTGTATCTCTTTTAATAAGTAATAGCTTCAGCATCATGCAAATGCGTTCAGAGATTATTCTTTAAATTCCCTCGATCAAATAAACTGACAAGGAGAAGAAGATAATTACGGCAACGGCTAGTAGTAAGCAAAACAAAATCCATAAATTTAACGTAATTTTAGGCCTTGCAATATAAAAATGACTTCAGTTTAGTATTGTCTGCAGATCTTAGTCATACAGCGAAGATATACGGCGGAAAATTATCTGAATACTCGCTTTTTTCTGTAATCGTAATTTGCAAGATAGTTTTTATGCTATTAATGGAGTATTGCAGTAAAAGAAATATCTCATATCAACATTTGATGACAAAATACTTTGTAATACGAAAACTTAGAAATGCTTGTGTAAAGTAAAATAATTACATATTACAGATATCTTTCCCATTTGTACTCGAGGACCAGCAAGTAAGATTCTATACTACTATATAAACAAAAAAGGAACTTGTATGTAAGCACTGGTTGTACCTGGATACATTCATATAGATACATTCATAACATAGAAATTTCAAGAACAATACTGGCATCTAAGACATGATATGTATAGTAACTTTATTTGGGAACTTATTGGAATATGAATAAAGTAACTTAAATGCATAGAGGTAGTTAAATTATACGCGATCTAGGATATCATTTTACGTTTCTGGAAATATTATTTATACGTTAACATAAGAAAGTACCTTTCTAATCGATACTATATTACAGTAATGAGATATAAAGCCTAGGTCGTGATACTTATTATACAATACCGGTAGTTTGCTCAATATAACTAGTATTGTGATTGTAGACCGTTAGCCATGTTTAGTATAACGTACGGTGGATATTTATCCTTAAGAGATATTTGGTAGCCATAACTATAGACTGTAGTGGTATAGACTCTATGCTAGAGTACAGATGACTATATACAGTAAGGTGTTGAGTTACTAATAAGGTTATAGGTAAAAATAGAACTGTAAATCATATATTAGGATTTGGTTAATTTATTGTACTTTAGCCGAACAGTGTTTATAAGAATAATTTAACTATGTGTAATATATGGTAAAAGGTTGCCATGCGGATTGTAGCTGCGAATGCTACGAAAAGTATAAAAGCATGCAACTTTAAATTATTCTGTTAGTTCGTTCTAGAAGTCTTTAGTAGTAGTATTCGGCTAGAGTAGAGCTGCGTATAGTTAATCTTTTCGTAAGATTCAATAAAGCTCTTATTCTTCTAAAATTTGGAATTTCGTGATCGATATACATCACAAGTAGGTATTTGATTGTACATATATTATATACTCCGGATATGCAGAGTTATCATTAGAAATAACATACAAAGAGGGATTACTTTCATGATCTACTACAGAATGAGCACGTTCTCCTTTGCTTCCAGGAATCATAGACAAATTCGGCTTGTCAGTAACGCTTGATTTGACATAAATTCCAGTTAGAACTCGTACTAACAAAAGTACTTTGCCAAATAGCTTTGAATATTCGGCCTTCACACCAAAATAACTTCCTGTTCCATGCTTGGAACCTATCAAAATTTCAATAAAATAGTTGTTATGTATGATAACTAATTTGACTTCTCCCTAATTCTAAAGATTTCAATACTATACTAGGATGTTATGGCATGCATGCATAACGCTAACAGTAAAATATTAATATACCACAAGAAGTCCCGGAATAGTCCCTATCGAAGCCATTCTTACATATTACATCTACTTTACTTGCGGCAGTACCATGAAATAGACGTTTTTCAACGTCAGCACCTGGTTTGTATCTCTTAACTGCCGCGGTGACCTCGGCTTTCCTTGTTTGATATTTTCTGTATAAATTCCAATTTTGGATTCTTCGCAAATTACGAACAGTAAACCCTCTAAGTCCTAGAAGCTTAGATATTTCATCTATTTCTCGTTGATTTGTGACATTCACTATTTGAAAGTATCCGTCTTTGATTTCATGCTTATTTTGGTATTCCCAGTTTCTGGGTATCGGGATATCATGTCTTAACTTGCTTTCTACATGTTTAGAAATAAATTTCGTTTACAAAGGCTACATTACTCATTTGCAATAGCTGAACTATTAATTATTAAATGACGCTTTTATCTATACATTGCTAATTAACGTTCTATCGAGTATCAATTGACTATACGTTTAATTACTAACAATATACACCGGTAAGCGCAATAATTAATATCAAGTATATCGATTTCTAAATTATGCTCTGTAATACCTTTAATAGATAATTTCTTAATCGGATATTCCACTCCATTAATATGAGTAACCTTCATGCTATCCAAATTTATCGTTTTGGTCTCAGAGTCGATTCGAAAAATGATTTTACTATTATCTTTTACGTAATTCTTATAATTTTTTTCTATCTCATAGCTCAATTTTGGCTCAAATAGACGTCTAAATCGACCGACTTTTACACTCCATCTAGCGCTATCTGCAGTAAATACTTTGACTTCCTCTAGAGCTTTTTCTTGAAAGTATATTTTGCTTTGTTCGTGAATAGCCGAAATGGTATCAGCGATATCTTTCTCAAATCCATATATGCTTACAACTTTTCCTTGATTTTCATTTACAAGAATAGTGTTGTACTCTGACCAGTATTGTAAAACAAGTTGCTGCCAACGATTTTCATCAATATGACTAAAAAATTCTTTACTAGTCAGCTTACGACATGTCCAAGTATGACTAGACTCTTCAATTTTTGATTTGACTCTCGTAATTGCCTCTTTACTTTGGGCAATATAAAATATATTTATACCCAATGCTCTTATCGATGAATCACAAGAGGTTTGCCAGTTAAACTGTACAGCCTTGCTTTTTAGTTTCCGTTGCATCCAACTTGCAATTTCTTCAGCTCGATCATCATATCCGATGACAAAATTAATGCAGTTTATACTCATATCTAAACTTTGATGTTCGGCTATGAATGTTTCGATGAAATCTATAAGGTTTTTAATATGACCAGAATTCATTTCAATATTCAAGAGCGGAATATTGACAGATTTTTCGCCATTAGCATTCATATGAGTTAATATACTACTAAATCCAGCTAAACAACCGTAAAGGCAAACTTGATAGGTTTTACAATCCGATCCAGAAATAGGTAGAATTTGTAAAGTTTCCGATGTATGTTCTGTATCAGTAATTCGTAAGGTATCAGAAAGAGAATCCACCTTACTGTGCTTAGAGCACAAAGCCGTCATATCCATGATAGCATCCGCTTTCAAACCATTTAAATTGCCATGATAAACATTTATACAGATAGGTTTCTCATCAATAAGGCATTGAGCAGAGAACAGCAGTCGATTCTTATCCTCAAAATCTGTTTTTTTGATTCCTATCGGTTTTATTATCTCCTCGATTTGTTCATTTTGATATAGCAATTCAGTCGCTAATGGCACACTAGACTTTAGCGCATTTTTGAAAGCTTTATGAATTTCAACATCGGTTGGATAAATAACAAAATTGATTTTTCGTAAACTTCCTGTATTATGTACGGCAAATTCAATAGATACTCTCATCATTTCCTGTGCAACCTTGTTAGCGTTCAAGCCAGCTTGGCCTGTTCCAATGGCTGGTATGGCTATAGATTCCAGAGAATCATTGTTTATTTCCATTAGACAATCTCTAAGACGATTACTAAGCCACTAAAATGTTAATAGTTACGAAATATAGACGTCATTACATGGCTATAATTGTAGCATTGAAGTAAGCAATTATTAAATTTAATTTAATTTTAGCTATGTAATACTTTATGAAATACATTCGATATCAATTCAATGCTATACTTACTAATAATGACCTGTCAGAGCTTAAGAACAGAATGTGATATACTGATTTACAACCAAAGTAATGGCCACTTGTGCAACCGATACTGTCAATTCCGAGATCTCCTAATTGATTACGGCATTCTTTTAGGTAGGAATTTCCTCCAATATTACTTAATGAGCTTGCAATTTTTCCATGATCAAAGCTATCATGATCTACTGAATTAACAATTGCATCAACCTAGCACAGGAAAGCAAGAAGTGAATCATGATTAATTTATATAGCACCTAGAACACTTATTCTTTAATACTATGCATACGTACACTTTTTCCTATTTTCTCAAGTTCCCCTTTTAATATTCTAATAGTAACATTATTGACTTTCAGTTCATAGTCGTTATTTTGTATGGCAGGCATAGTAGGCGATTTTGTAGCTTCTGGCAGATTTACGCTCTCGGTCTCTAACTGAATGGGTTTATTAGGAACATTTTCGGATTTCTCTTTCTTTTGATAATTAAGCTTCAGTTTGCCTTCATTCACTGAATAAACACTGTATTATGGATATTTGTGAAACAGCATCGTAATCAATATTACAGAAAATAGCGCTCAAGTAATTTATTTATGTAGTTATGCCTAAGATATCATGTACCATTGGTGTTAATAATAAGGCATGATTGATGCAAAATGTATCCTCATTAAATTATGATTTTATCCGCTTCTAAGCGTCAAATAATTTTTTATGCTTTCATTTCATTTAGTGACATTTGCTCAGCATAATTACTATTAAATAGTAAGCATCAAAGGAATCTCCCAGTTAGATCCTATTCTAACCATATATCGCTCACCTGTAAGATCCATTTCTGGTAATTATAAGAACACATGGCATTTCTGTTCGTAACCCATCCAACTCGATGATGTTTTGACTAGAAGTTATAAATCTTCCAATTTTTGAGTATTGACTGATCCAATCTTCTCTCTCCGTGACAAATCCTCCGATCATAGAATTTAATTTTTGACGAATTACAGTTTTATAGCACTCAGCACACTGAATGGTGATATTCTTTGTAATTTTACTACGACTAACAGTATTCACTAGTGCCTTTGCCATTTCAATATGACATTTATACTCATTTTCCAATTTCTGAATATTTTCTTTCCTATATATCTGTAGATATTCCAATATCGACGGAGGGGTAACTTTGAAACTTAGATTTACCAATCCGTAGTCTTTTACTAGCATGGAAAGGATTGATAATGCATCGTGGGTGATCTTGCGAGGACCTGTTACCGTTATAACTCTATTTTCTCTGCAATTGTCTGCTTTTACTTTAAAGTGAACCTTATCACGAAAGGCAAGGCCATCTCGAATTTTAGAAAGATACTCATCTTTATCATCTAATAAGAGCAAGTTCTCGCTAGCAAAAGTTACAGAGCGAGTACAAAAGATTTCTTGTAAAATCTCGTTTGCTCTCTGATGGGTCTCAACATCTAAGGCAACAATAGACGCATAGGTACTACCGCTCTTTTTGAATACTCCAGCATAAATATCATCATCTCGCAATTTCTGATTCATAAACTCTCTCATTTCAGTATACTGTGCAAAATAGTCACATAGTTGATCTGATAAGCTACCTCTTCCATCAACAACATTACTGAAATTACTCAAGGTGTAGTGAATATAATATTGCGTTCCTCTAATCATATACACGGTTAATTTACTTCCCCGATCACAGTTTGTAAACTTAAATGAAACTTTGTAACCTTTATCCCTGAGTTTTTGCTCTAGATTAACTTGTTGAATAAGAAAGCAAACCTCCTGGGGTAGAATATTTTCTTTTTTAATCATATCTATATTCGATATATAGGCACAATTATAGAATTAGTGCATTCATGAACTAGATTTAAACACAATTTTTTATAGGCCAATTTTAACTAATCAGTACGAAATTTGTACTCTAATTCGAGAGATATTGTTCTTCAAATTGATTGTATGTTCATTAGTTTCACCTTCATCATCTACGATATCCCCATACTTCATTCCATTAAATATATTGGTCTCTTTGATATTTTCTGCCATTCTATCAAATTTATGACTACTTCGATTTTCTGCCATTTCAGATTCCAGTAGATCATTTCCTCTTTGATTAGCAAACTTTAATTGATCGCTAGAAAGATCTGTTTCCTCGTGACTTAACATATCATCCTGCTGCAATGATATAAAATCGCTGTTGCGTCGTTCCTTCTTCAAGATATTTCGAAGTCGGAAAACTTCATCATACAATGATTCAAATTGGGCAGAATGAAGAATTTTTAGATGAATTGGCTGATTGCTTAAAATTTCAAATTTGTCCAAGCATAATAAGGCAATAACAGCGTCTGATTGTCTAGGATAGACCACACGCCTAAAGAATGAAAGTAAAAATACGTTTAGTAGCTTTATTTGGCTCATAGCTGCTCCGAATTCTATGCTCTATACTAAACGAATTCCATTCGATTGCATAATCCTTTTGATTAATTGAAAATTAAGAATTGAACTATGCCTTTGTGATAAAATATTTCTTAAAATAAAATGAGAACTATAATTTTGGGGGGAAGTTCACTTTGTTGCATATATTCGGTTCGTCTTATAACTACCAAGGACTATCTAGCTGCAAATCAGTCTATCTTTAGATTAACTTGAAACTATTTAAATTATTATATATCAGTATTAACGATTCATATACAATTCGTAACAGAGTGATTTTCCTTTAACAATCTTAGTATTAGATATATTTAGGGCTGAACCATAGCTTCGCAAGCGCGAAATACGCGTAGATGATGCATGGAAATCTAAAATTATGAACATTCCGATACTTGAAAATAGGATAATTTGTTTTATAGTCAATAGTATCATGATATCCATTTATAATAGTAGTAGCTGTTATCTTACTATTCTGATGCTTAAAAATATGATAATTTGTTTTTTAAAGTCAACAGCGTCATGCTCCCCTCTTATAATGTTAGCAGTCCTACTATTCTGATACTTGAAAAACGCGATAATTTTTTTTTGAAGTCGACAGTTCCACGCTTCTCACTTAAAGTATTAGTAACCTTACTATTCCGATATTTGAAATTGAGATAATTTGTTTTTAAAGTTAGTAGTATCACGCTACTCAACTATAATTGGAGTAGCCTTTCTATAGCAATATAGCAATTTAATTTTCTATATTATACTGATAAAGCCAATTGGCATTTAGATCTATAGAACGAAATACAAGTAATAATGCATTCCTAGTATTCCATGTTAATAATGGTTCTTACGCTTTATCAGACTCAATCATCTTCAAGCTAGTCACGATTCCAGCTTGACTCGCTAAATGGAAGAGCTCCATCTATAGAATTGATGAATTTAAATCATAAATGATACCTATTAATATTTGCAAACTATGGATTTTAATATAGATATATAATTATTAATCGAATACCAATTATATAGACGCAGAAAACTGTTGACAAAGTATTCCACAAACCTGGTGCATTGATTCGGGAACATTAGATATAATGACTTCAGCTGAAACCTTTAAAAACTGCGAATTGTCTATCATCTTGTTAATCATAACCTTTCTAAGATATGGTACAAATTTAAGTAATTGCATCAATTAAATATTGGGTATAACTTTAATTGCCGACTAATGCTGAAGTTTCCTGCTATCACGTATTCAATTTCGCTACCGTAAGAAGATAATTGAAATAGTTTGCAAATTTATAAATAATAATCAGTTAGGAACGTACTTTTCTTCAATGTCTTTATGGTAAAAGCAGCCATATTCGTTCCTATTTAAAGCGGTCATAAACTTTCGAACCATCGCATTCAATTTTTTACGCTTTTTCTGTCCCATTTCTGCTGGCCAAAACATTCTTAATCCAAATCTACTATTTCCACATTTTACATTTTTCAGATGACACATCAACATAACGGCATCATCTTTCGAATCGACAGTCAATTCCCTAATATCAGGTAATGAAAAATATTTAGAATGAATATAGGCGATTAGTATGCCATTCGTTAAGGCTTACTTTTATTTCTTTATCATTCTGCAATAGTTTAATATACCGGTACTGTATTATTTAGGACATTTAGAATCGAGTACTCGAGTAAACACGAAGTTGATTTTAGAAATAAACCCAGATACTATAAGCTAAATAAAAATAGCGATCTATAATCGTATTCTTGAATAAACTAAAATGTTTTAACTACATGAAATTAAATTCCCTTTGATTAAATGTCTAAGTGCTCTCTTAGTATAAAATTCTGATGTAATTGAAAGCAATCATGCTTAATATTATGGCCATGTTGCTACAGAAATTAATTATCAACATTACTCACGCAAGATTCCAACTCTTTCTTTTATCACAAGTATATCTGGTTATAGTAATGCCAACATTATTGCAAAGATTACGGACCCTTTGCTTAAATTTCTACAGAAATCCAATATGTAAAAAATAATAACGATACGTATTTACATAGACCAGTTAATTTAATTTATAGCATAGAATCAGCATAAAATTGGTTTAAAGATCGAAATCTGCGATTTCAAAACAATAGCAGGTAGTGTAAAAATTTTACTCTGAAGTTACAATCTGTATTAATGGCTCTAGATGCTAAGTCTTATTGCCATAAATCTCCTTAATCATTTGTTAGTAGGTGTTGGGATCTAATTAATATATTAATACTACGTTAAATTGTACATATGATACTATAGATATATATTAGAGCTGAAGATGTGGATGGAACCATTTTAAGTTATGAAACTGGCAAAGAACAACATACGAGTAGATTATTTTCGAATCCTTCTCGAGCCTGCTTTGATCTACTATTACGCATTACCGCTATAGGAACTACAAAAGTTACCGGACTATAAAAGAAAATTATTAATAGTAATGTTAAGTGGTTCGCAATTGCTAAACTTAAGGCTACGTGACTGAAAGTTAGTCAGTTTCATAATTTGCAACTACTTTCAAATCCTGCTGAATCCGTTTTGGAATCAAATCGCATTAACGAATATAAGTCTATGATGCAATAGAGTAAAACTTCTATTAAAAGGTATACATGTTGATAACGTAGCAGTAGCAGTAGCTAACATCTGCTGATAATATTAAGGGCAAATCATATTATAGGCAGCTCAAATTAAAAGAATCTTCTGTAAATAATACGAAAGCTCCGAAGAGACCTATTTCTAGCAAAGATATAAAGTATCGGAATAGGAGAGATCACTTAATTGTCATAGGTTATTTTGATAGCAAAGGACGTTATGGTTTTCGAAAAGCGTATGGCAACTTACCTTGGTAACTCGCTGTTCTATTCCACAAGCATAGATTGTAGTTTCTTCTGAACTAAAATATAAATAAAAGTTCTAATTTAGAATCCTTCTATATCGGATACCATTTCAAGTCATTTTCGCCCAGGCAAATTATTTTGTACGTCAAATCTTTAAATGCTTCTAGTCGTTAATGTAAACTATTTCGATAATACTTCAGGAAACAGCAATTAATCTCTTTCACAGTCTCCCTTGCTGCTGACGTACGATATTTTGTTGTAAGTATCATCTATTGATGACATCATCCACAGTAGAACTATTTCGTGTTATATCATAAAAATTTATATCGACAGTATTTACGAACCCTTCACAAAAACAAAGGCGTATGATATAATAACAATTCCAAATTAATTCTGAAACAGATTCACAACTAGCAAAACATGGCAGCTTACAAGGTATAGTTAAATTAAAAGCAAGATATTTGCTAAGATAGTGAATAAATTTTTAATCATTTCTATCTTTGTAATTAGGTATAGCAATTTATAACAGCCTTACCCAAATGAAACCATGTTGAATGGAGGATTTGTAAAAGTTAAATTTAAAATTTACTATGTTATAATTTTTATTTTATGACATAGCTGATGACCCAAGTCAATCACTATCTACTCAACAAACACTTTGATGCAATGCAATTTAATATTTAAGGTGGCTTAAAGCAACCACTCCACTGTTTTACAATGCACTTTATCGCACCTGTTTACTGACTAAAATAAGTTAAAAGATAGGATATTCTAGAAGGAAACGAAGAATCTATCTATTCGATGGAAAGAACCATTGAATAGAGGTAAGCTACCTTAACTCTTTTTTTCTATTAGGTCGAGAATAACCAGTGCGAAATAATAAAGAAATTTTTAAAAATTACTACTTCTCCGTATATGACGAAATATAATTCTGAGTATGGCTTAGCCACGCCTCATCTTTCCATCATTAGAATTTAGCATGATAGCAATCCAGTAATTAAAATAATAATAAAATAATGAATCAGTAGCCTGCTAGCTCCTATTATAATTCACGAAAGTAAAAGACAATGATTAAGGAATTGAAATAAAACTTTTGAGCTCTATAGACACCTATTGTCTTATTTTAATTTATTTTCTATTCAAGTTTTTTTAAGTTTTCTTTGCATCATTCCGCTCTGGTTTATAGTTAAAATGCATGAGACGTTAAGTAAATGTCCAGTGTCATCGCTATATAGTCTTCTTGCTGTCATAATATCTTAATAATTACATCTTACTAAAGAAGTAAGTAAACATTATCGGAATAACCGTAACCAATAAATAAACTTGTAGTGTTGCATTTATATTTGATTATAAGAATAGCTATATTTGATATAGCTAGGCTACTCTGAATAGATATTATCTTGAAGCTAATAATATTAGATGATTGCTAACTACTATATTAGAAATCGGTGATGATTAATACTAGCCAGTTGACTACTTATAGTACAAGATTTATTTCGCTAGAAACACCGTATTTGTTGAGATGCTCTTCGGAGAAAGTGGCTAGACGTTAATAGAAGAGTAGTGACATCTTAAGTAGAATGATTTAAATTATAGAAGATAATGGTGTACTATTTCAGAAAAGTATTTTGTTTGATGACTCATGTCTGATTGTAGATTAATCAAGTTGTTATAAATGGATTTAACGAAATGTATATTAGAACTGCAGACATGAGCTTACGGGAGACAAGAGACTTCACTTCGCTTTGAACTCGGAATACTTTAGATTTTAGACTAGTGTAATGAAATGAAAAGTGTAGAGATCAAGCTACAAAACTTTAACAAACTTTAATTCTACTTTCGTTGCACTCCGGTCGACTTAGCGAAACTTTGACACCAAATAAAATTTGGGGAAATAATCGAACGACAATTTATTTCAAAACAAAATGGACAGAAGTATAAACCGAATAACCTTACAAATACTTAGCTTTAAGTATTAATAAAATAAGTGACAGACTTAAAAACTGTCAACGACAAAACAACCTTTCAAAAAGAAGAACGTTTTAACTTACGACAATTCGACCCCGAAGGCCTTTTAAATTCAACAAGTTCTTCAAATAAAATCTTCTTCTCCTCTCTCTAAATTTTCTAATTGCACTATCATTTATAGGCTTCTTAGAGCCGTCAGAGGTATTTAAAACTAAACAATTGCTAACCAATCGCTCTCAAGATCCGTTTTAGAAAACTACTTTGCACCATTTAAGAAAACAAAAATCATTCAAAGTTCAGACACAATTTACCCTATGATTCCCTTACAAAGCACTATAAAACTAACAAGCTAACTATAAAAATACATCAAACTTCACTTCTAACATAATTTCTATCATTAATACACTATAAAAGTCTAAAAATCAACCTTTAAACATCAAGATTTAGTCATAAAAATAACATTCTAACTACTTAACAATCAACCCAACCTCTGCCAATTTCCATCTTATTTTCTATTATCCTCACTAAATTTTCCTAATGTGACTTCAAGTCACGTCATAAAATTCCAAAGTTTCAAATTCATAACAAAAAGTTCAAATTTCAAAAATCAACTCTTAGGATATTTTTCATGAACAAAAATTCAAAAATTAAAACAGGAAAATTATATCAGACATAAAATTAAAACAGGAAAGTTATATCGGACATAAATCCGACCGCGGTTCCGGAATCCGAATCCGAAAAAAATCCGGACTTTATAAAGATTACAGTAATCGCTATTTCGCTAATCAAATGACTATCACGTCTTTCTACTATTCCAAAACCATGTAATAATAGCCTTTTAGAAATACTATTTGCCTAAGATAGTTATTGTAAGGCATCCCTTTTATTACAAACTTTACTGAGTGCATAGTATTCTTACTTAGATGGAATTTCCTAGATCAATTCGTCTAGATAGAAATTTAATGAAATTTAACTAAATAACTACTTTGTAGTACTAGTAGTTAATAATATCCAGTAATATCAATTTGTTACACCCTTCAGCTTGAAATGCCTTTCGTTGTGCAAAATAGTCAAACATGCAGTATATTGAGTAATGTGAACGACAAATTAACACTTGCAGTAAAGAAGAACGTATATTTAAATATTTGGATAGGATTATAATTTGTTGAATTAAATGCTGTTGATATACTCGCAGGGCCGTTATACATATCTCAATTTATGTTATGTACTTTCTTTAATATATGATCTTCAAGGAAGGTGAAATGATTGCATAGATGCGAAGCAATAACTTTAAGGGTGTGCAATTAAGTCTCAAAATCACTTAAATCAATCTATAAAATAGACGTAATTTCTTGTATTAATGTCTTTACGATAGATTGATGGCATTGGTTAATCGAATCTCTGTCATATATTAGTTATTGTTGGCAAGGCTCAATATTCAAGGAATGCTATAATCTACTCAAATACTAATTCAAAATAACGTTAGAGAGAATTATCGATAGCCCTTATAAGTTAAAATCTTGAAATACGTATAAGGAATGGAAATCTTTAATGCAGTATGAAATCAATGAAATCATTATCTGATAGACGATGAGCACAGGCTTTGAAAGTACACACAAAGTAAAGCGCTTACCAAAACTTACTCATTAACTTATCAAGATAGTCATAGAGAGATTATCAACAACTCTCGTACCTTAAAATCTTGATACATATTGAATAAAATTCTCAAATACGGTAATAAATCGATTACATCCAATTAATTTACTAGTGATTATTTATTTTAAACAAACCATAAGCGTATAGTCTAGTATCACTTTAATTTCATTAATTATATCCAGCTTCGAACAGCTTAATCCAAAAATATTAGTACTGTACTATTCAACTTTACGTGACACAAATGACTTCTTTAAGCCTTTAAGTAAAAAGATTTAGAGGTTAATAATGATATTACTTACTAATCAATGACTAATTTATCTATCAAGCGACTAGCTCTACGTCTTGATCATGATACTCAATGTGATAAAATAATTGCTGATCAATTCACGATAAATGGATAATGTATTCTGGATAAGCAGAATTATCATTCGATACAATATACATAGAGGGGTTGCTTATATTATCCACAGCAGAATGTATACGTTCATCCTGGCTTCCGGGAATGTTGGATAAATTAGGTTGATTACTGCCGCTTGATGCACCAGAGATTCCTGTTAGTACACGAACTAGTAATAATGCATGGCCATATCTTCGCGAAAGTTCAGCTTTGACAGCAAAGTAAGTTCCTGTACCATATGCAGAGCCTACCCAATGGAAGGGAAAAAATTTATTTAACGATTTTCACCCTCTATTAATTTCAGCCAGACAAGATTTTGTCTTCGAATATTCTGTATGGAATTGATCATTTTAAACTCACTTATAAAAATAGTATTACATGTTTATACATATGTTTTGAACATATACAAACCTGCAGCTGTCCCTGAATAATCCCTATCAAAACCGTTCTTACATATCCCAGCTACTTTGCTACTATCAGTACCATGAAAGAGGCGTCTTTCAACTTGAGTTCCTGGTTTATATTTCTGAACAGCTGCAGTCACGTCAGCTTTCATGATCTGATACCTTCTGTATAAATTCCAATTTTCAACTCTTTGTAACCTATTAACTCTGATTCCACCGAGTTCTGGAATGCTAGAAATTTCATTTATTTCCTCCTGATTTGTAACATCGGCTATGTGAAAGTAGCCATCTTTGATCTCTTCTTGATTTTGGTATTCCCAGTTAGTAGGTATAGCCAATTCTAATAAACAGCAAGCCATATATATTATAATGCCATCATAAGATTAAATCACGATCGCTGTAAGGAATAACTAACTCCTTCATAAATTAGTAACTTATAATAAATTTGATAAGCTACTAGCTACCAATTCATACATAAGATTAGACTACAATCTTTCTATACTTTATATTCGATCTTTAATTCAATTAATTAATTATACAAGTAAAGCAATAAATAAAGATAACTATCAAACTATGATAAATTAGATATATTTCTAGTTTCGAATTTCTCTCTGGAAATAGACTTAATCGAAATCTTTCGAAATTATATATTCTATTTTTAATTATACAAGTAAAGTAGCTAATAATTATAAAAATTCTATAAGTGTATACATATATATATATATATATATATATGTAATTACTGATGAGATATCAATACTTTGCTACACCTGTTATTGACGATTTTCCTATAGGATACTCTGTTCCATCAACAAACTTCAGATTCATTTCGCCGAAATCGATCGTTTTATTTCCTGCATCGATTACGAAAGTCTTCTTGGTCTTATCTTTAGTATAAATCTTGTAGTTTTTTTCAATTTCGTAGTTTAGCTTCACTCCAAAGTAAGCCTTAGATTCTTCAGCTTTTACATACCATTTAGCTGTTTCAGCTGTAACTTTCTCTACTTCATTCTGAGCTTTCTCTTCAAAGTAAGTTTTACTTAGCTTATGAATACTTGAAACAGCATTCAGTATATCGTTCTCGAACCCGTATATATACACAGTTTTATCTTGACCTTGCTTTACTAGAATTGTGTTATATTCTGACCAAAATTGTAACGCAAGCTCAGACCAACTATTTTGATCTACTGAATCAAAATAATCTTCTTCAGTCATCTTATGACTCGTCCAAGCATCTGTAAGTTCTTCCATTTCTGATTCCATCTTAGTAATGATAGATTTATCTTTAGCGACATAAGTTACATTAAAACCAAGTTCTTTAACTGCTACGTGTTGAGTAATTTGCCACCCAAACTGTAAAGGCTTATCGACGATTACCATTTGCATCCAGCTTGCGAATTCTCGACTTCGATCTTTATATCCAATGACAAAATTAAAACAATTTATACACGTTGCCGCACTTAGATTATTAGCTATAAATATCTCTATAGTATCTATTAAGCTATAAACATGAGTGAAATCCATTTCATGACTTAACAACGGAATCGCGATCGATTTTTCTTCACGGGCATTAATGATTGCTAATATAGTACTAAAGCCAGATAAGCAACCGTAAGGACAAACTTGATATATAGTTGAGCGCGATTTAGAAGAGAGTTTTCGCAAAGTTTGTGATGTATGCCCAGCATCGTTATAGTGAATAAAGTCTAAATGAGAATCAACTTTCGAATGCTTAGGGCATAAAGATGTTATATCAACGATAGCATCTGCAGCTACATCATGAATATTGCCATCATAGATATTAATACAAATAGGTGTTTCAGTGATTTCGCATCGAGCTGAAAATAATAGTTTCTGTGTACCGCTAAGATTTACATGCGTAGGGGTATTTCCGGTCGATTTTATTACCTTCTTAACGAGTTTAGCTTGCTGTTTAAGTTGCACTTCTAGTACTTTACTCGATTCTAGCGATTGCTTCATAGCACTATAAACGTTTAAGTCAGTAGGAAAGACGATAAAATAGATTTCTTGTAGGCTTCCTGTATGCTTATGAGCAAAGTCCATTGCTACTTTTATCATTTCCTTGGTAATTTCATCGATATTTAGGTTAATACTTCCAGTGCCGATGATAGGTATGGCTATTGATTGCATGGATTCATTATCAGCTTTTTTTAAGCAATCTTCAATACGTTGGCTAAGCCACTAAAACAGGCAATTAAAATGATTTATTATTGTCAGATTTACTAAGCTGCTTCTATTTACTAAGTAAACTACTTAGCCTAGCATCATCATCTTCTATTAATTATTACATTAAGCACTCTATATGATTTCATAGCCTCTAATAATGTATTTGCTTTATTTAGCGTTTTCTAACAGGTATTGGCTCTCAACCTACCGATGTTGATTTGTCGGAGCTTAAAAATGCAATGTGATATACTTTCTTGCAACCAAAATACTGCCCATTTGTACAGCCTATGCTATTAATCGATAAAGATTGTAACAGACTACTACATTCTTGCTGATACGCTGCTCCACCAGCGGCTGATAGTGCTTTAGCAATTTTACCTTCTGCAAAATTATTCAAGCTCATGGAACTGATAATAACATCAGCCTGGAAATAATAAAAAGATTCAAAATGGACTCTTTATTTAGTGCTGTAGATGTTTCTATTCTATCAAGTATTAAATTAGGAATAACATAGTCTAAGACGAATTCTATTTTACTACTTACAGAGGCTGCTCCTTCTTGTTCCAGTCTTCCTTGCACCAATTTAATTGCAACATTATTAATTTGCCTCTCGTTACTACTTGTTAGCGAAACCGGTTGAGTTGAGTCACTAGGAGCGGCGGTTTTAGCTGTGATTACTTCCTCTTGTTTAGCTGTTTGCAGAATCACCTTCTGATCAAGTGTGACAGATTTTTCAACCATAGGTTTACTTTCATTACTAAAACATAAAACAAGAAAACGTAAATGAGCAAAACGATTTATATCCAATAAATTGAACGCTAACTCTACCTCTACGGGTAACAATATGAATGCAAGATTGCAACATCCATATTGATTCCTATTCTTAACTACTAGATTCCCTATAGATAATAATGTAATCCCATTTCCATATTAACGTTTCATTTTGACTACATCTTCCTCCTCGCTAAGGTAACAATGTTGCCACACTGACTTACCTTTCTCTAAACTTGTTTACGTTTAATACAATTTTAATCATCATTTTGTATTTTATAACTGCTGTAAATCTAATACGATTAATTAATTTCATTGCTTTCATTTAACGGTCAATTATAATGCCATAGGTACCTTTCATTATCGTAAGTCATAGTGATCAAGCATTGTAGTTGTCCTTGTAGGCGCTCTAATTTGGCTTTATGTTTGCTGTTACTAAACAATCGTCCAATATACGAATATTTACTAATCCGATGTCCTTCTTCCGTGGTAATATTTTGTAACAGAGCTTGAATTTCGTTACTAATAGTAGTTTCATGAATGTTGCAACATTCTACAGAAATGTTTTTACGTACGTCCATACACCAAGAATCACTGCCTTGTTTCTCTTCAATTTTAATTTGGCAGCCGTATTTCTTTTCTGAGGACAGGATATCACCATGTAAGTGCATCCGTAAATATTCCGTTTTCAAAACTGGAATATCACTAATAACAAATTTGATTAATTTATAATTATCTATTTTAGTTTCTATAGCTTGAATTACACTTTCAACGATATTATTAGGACCCGTTACTGCTATACTACAAGTATTCGTATCTTTATCCAAATTAGCTTCTAATAGGACATTACTACATGCGGGAATATCTTCTTCAATACTAGAAAGGAATAGATGAGTGTCTTTTGAAAAAAAGCGATTCTCATAAGAAATTATTGTTGTTTTAGTACTGAAGGCTTGTAATAGCAAGGCTTTAACTTTGTAATATACTGCCATATTCTTAGCAATAATAGATATGGAAGTATTCTCCTCAGTATGAACGATTGCGCCATCAATATCATGATCATTAAATTTCTTATTTAGAAGATCCATCATATCAGTCTTTATAGCAAGATAATTGCATAGTCTATCAGATAAATCCTCTTTAGAATCGACCCAGTTGAAAAAATTCATTAATTCCTTCAAGATAGAACCTTGGTCGCCATCAATCATTCTTGCACTTAATAATCCTCCATCTTCATCCTCTCTAAATGTGAACGAAATTTCAAAACCTTTATCACGGATTCTTTGCTCTAGATTCAATTTTTGGATAAGGATGTAAGCTTTCTTGGAGAAAGGGTACTCTTCCTCAATCATATTTTTTGCTAATGTGGAAAATTCAGTAGAATCATTGCCATTCGCACGCTGTTGTTTCATCGATAGAGGCTTTCCATGAGTAGGCTGTACATTATTTGATAAACCAGAATTTTGTTCTATGCTTTGATGACTACCTTTATTTTCGTTCAGATATGCTTTTATACTTTTACCTTGTACTTTTCTAGCACTATCGTAATTTTCAACACCTGTTCCATCGGTTACTGGTTTACTTCGTGTCGTTCTTGTACCTTGACTCTTATTGAAGTTTACTCCTTTGCTTGTTTTCTGTTCTTTCCTGTCTTGAGCCACTTTGTCACGGTGATTGATTCCATCATTAACAAATGGATTCTTCACCTGTAATTGCTTCGAACTCAAACTTGGATCAAAACAAGAATTGAGCGAAAATGGTTGTTTCTCTCCACCTGAAGTGTACTTTTTCTTTTGCTTAACTGGAAATCGAGCACCATCATGATAATGCGATGCTGATCGATTACTATTATCCTGTCGATTCTCAAGAAGATTTCGAATTCGAAAGACCTCATCATACAAAGCTTCACTATTTTGGCTTTCAAACTGAACTATTATTGGTTGGCAAGTCAAAAATTCAAATCCATCCAGGCACAGTAATGCTATTATAGCATCAGCTTCGCTGAAATAAGTTACTTGCCTGTGAAGAGAAGAAAATAGATAAATTTATTTAATTCATTTAGCTTACGAATATTGAACATCCTTTTAAGTAGCTACATAAGTTCATCTAGCCAGAAATTCTCGCCGCTAATATGAACTACAGAGCTGCAATACATTTTAGCGGGAATTAAAAAATCAAAATAAAAAGCATCAGCCACCAAATGACAGCTGATTTTCTAATTTTGAAAATAATGATATCATCAAAGATTCTTTATCAGCTTCTAAAATTATCAAATATCGTGTGAATTCTATCAATACAATAATTCATGAAATTAGTTTACTGATGAACAAAAAGTATTCATATGATATTACACATGATCAGTCTGCGCCATATCTAAAGAAGCAACCATTCCACCTTGCCCAGCCAAATGATAAAGCTCGATCTATCATTATTAATGGAATTACAATTACATTATCACAACGTCAATTTCTCTCTAATCTAAATCCGACAAAAAGTGTTCATCATCAAACTTAACTGACTTTATTTATACATAGAGGAACATTGAATATTTTAACTGTCGTTTTAGTGGTTTTAAATCGAAATTTATCCAAAAATTTGACAGCTTGCATCTTTCTAAAGGATTGACAGACGATAAAATGTCATTAGCATATCGCATCTGAACTCTATAAACTTATCATTCATTCTTCTATTCCGTTTACAAATATTGAACTAGGACATTTCTAATCATCAACGAAATAAGTATAGAAGAACTAACTTATAAAGGCAAAGGAGAGGGTATAGCACTCAATTCAACCTACCTATCTTCGATTCTTATATCGAAGAAACAGCCCTTGGCTTTACGACCTAATTGCGCCATTTGCTTAAAAACCTCATTAGTCAATTGCTTGCGTTTGTAGTTAACCAATTCTACTGGCCAAAATAATCTTAGAGGAATTTTGCTCTCCTTAATTTTTAAACCTCTCAATTTTGCCATTAATGTAACGCAATCTCCTTCTGAAAAAAGGCATAATTCCCTAATGATAATAACAAGCATGGTAAGCAATTACTAATTTTCTTAGTTATTCAAAGTACTATAAAACCTTATCTTGCGTGATAAAATATGCAGAAACTGTCAAATTTGATTTCAAATAAAGATTTTCCCTTGAAATTGAACCATTCTGATTTCTAGCAACTTAATTTAAACTCGGTAGGAATATAAGCCGCTTAAAACTAACATTACAGATCTAAAAGGAGCGAACTTTCATCGATTTTAAAACGATGTGAAAACTTAAATTCATGATGACTTACACAAAGTTCCAATTTTTCTTGGCTGAACATATATAAGTGTTAAAATTACCAATTTGGACGTCTGGAGCCAATTGAATAACTATCTCTTCAAAGTCCTATGTGAATTAAAGAGATCAATAGTTTAAAAGTTATATATATCATGGATCGATTTAGCGTCTATAATCTATTTAACTATCATGATAGAATGATATCTTCGTTTAGGTTAAAACAAAATAGCGTTGAAAACGATTAATTTCACGACTACTAGGCCAAAATATGGCTTTCATTCTATGCATTGGATAAATTCTTGCTCAGTGTTTAGTACCATACTATTCAAATCATCTAAAATGTTATTTGAAAATAATTGTTATCATCAAGAATCAAAATTGAATGAGAAGCAACCAATTCTATCCGATATAGCAACATTCTGTCGTAGTTTATTAAAATATTGTACAATGAGTTAATAGCACCTAAATATCATATTTAATTCACTTTTCTACAATCAATTCAGGGCAGATTAGGTACGGTAGTACTTATGAGAATATTTAGATACAAATAAATAAAGCATTATAAAATTTCTGAAACTATTTTAAAAGTAATTGTTGCTATCAAGATTGAATGAGAAGTAACCAATTTCATCAGATATAGTAATACTCTGTCGCAATCGTTAAATATTATACATTAATTGCGGTGAGAACACTTACATGATTAAATGATATATTTAATTCACTTAGTCACAATCAATTTAGGGAACATTAGGTAAGTTACTACATGTTAGAATAGTCAAATGCAAATAAATAAAGTATTATAAAAATATCTAGTATTATTTTAAAACAAATTGTTACCATCAAGATTGAATGAGAAGCAACTAATTTTATCTAATGAACCTACATTTATTCATAGCTATTTAAGATTGTAGGGTGAGCTAATAGCATCTAAATGGCATATTCAATTCACTTTGCCACTACTATTTTAGGTAAGGTTAGGTGCAGTATTGCTTATTGGAATAATTATATGTAAATGTAACAAAATTTAGAAAAAATTGTCTGATACTAATGTTAAAGAACATAGCTTGCCTTAAGATTGTCTAACTCAAAGCAACGCTAATTTGTTCTCAATTTAAATCACTAACTTAGACAGACATGAAATTCAGCAACATTACAACGAAATAATAATTATGCTAACTCTATCAATAAAAAAGCTGACAAACAGCATCAAATAGACTAAATAATTCCTTTTCAATTTTGAAGCCGCGTTGCCTTCAGATTATCTAAAGCTACAACAATTTGCTTTCACTTTAAATAACTAATATGTATGTATGGTCATGAAATTCAGTATTATTTCAACAAAACAATAATTATCCAACTTCATTAATGAAAATGTAAGTAGCAGTATCAAATTGACTAAACAATCCTATTCCAATTTTTTAAGTCGCGTTATTGGTAAAGCTGTAATTAAAAATAGACGCTTTTAATCTCATACATGTATTCGAACTAAGTTGATTATTGTAAATACGAGCAAAAATCTCAATGATGACTAATGAGAGAAGCCGATTTTTTCCCAAAACATTGCCAAGCAGAAATAGGCCGTAATATTATTTTACTACACTTTATTTAATGTCAGAATGAATACATTAAAATACAGTACCTTGACAAATCGACTTTCAATTCCGCAAGCATATATTGTATGGGATTCCAAACTAAAATATTTAAAAATTAATTACGATGTAAAATTCCGTATTTCTTGCCATATCTCGACAGGTTTATTTAGCATTAGTCTATACAAATATAGATTATATGATATGTAAATTTACCTTGAAGAAGCCATACTTTAATTCTGGATCTATAAAAGGAAATCAGCCTTTTATTTCTGAAGTTACTTCCATTTTTTAAATTTAATCAATGTAGTTATTGTGTTTATTTGCTATCTATAAAGACAGCAGTATGACATACTGTCAAGTTCTATTTGTATATTAACTTGTTAAATTGGATCTAGTGAAAAACTTACAAACGAAATCGATTTTCCTAGTGTTGTATGTAGTAGCAAAAATCAGTTTCTGAATTCTATGCATGAGGTGTAAAATTTAAAGAAGCAGGTAGAAACTGTATTAGAAGGAAGGCATAATATGTGCCATCATTCTAGTTCAAGCATTTTATCTAATTCACGCATTGACACAATTAATTGATATTAAAGATAGTTATACTTAGCTAAGAAGATAAAAAAGAACTCACAAGATCATAACCTTTCTATCATGATATCATGCCCTTTTAGATGAAAATAAACTATACAACTCATAATTATTTACGGTCCAGCTGATTAATCTTACCGATCTGTCAGTATGCCCAATTTACTGAGCTAGAAAAAATGAAAAGGTTACTAACAGATCACTGAACACAAAATAAATCAAAGCCGACAAATTACCAAAGAGTAAGATGATCGCATCTACGATTAAATCTAATCAACTATTCGGCAATCATCCTTGACCACTCTCGCTCTCTCTCTCTCTCTCTTGTTAGCTAGTACAGTACAACTTAAGCACTACTGTAAAGAAACTTATTATTGTGATAGTAGACTTTTAGCTATGTTTAGTAAGATGTACGAAAGCGCAACTTTCTATATTTATCTTAAGGCTTATTTGATAGCTCGCGATGATGGACTGTAATAGTAGATTGTATGCTACAGCATAGATGACTATATATAATATAGTAAGGTGTTGAGTTACTAGTAAGGCTAGAGGTCAAAATATAACTGTAATTCATACATTAGGATATACTTAGTTTACTGTACTTTGACTGCTAAGAATAATATAATATCTACGGAAATAGTGTAGTTGTTTCCATATCGGATTAATGATGGTCCGCTGTAAAATTGTGTTACTAATAATAATTCGACTACATGTAAATTAAGGTAGAGTGTTGCTATGCTGATTATGGCTGTGACTGCTACGAAATGTACATAAGCTGGCAACTTTAGACTATTCAGTTAGTTCTTTCTAGAAGTCTATCAGTAGTTGTATTCGGCTAGAGTAAAACTGTGTATAGCTAGTCTTTTTATTACTGTAGATCCAATAAAGTTTTAATTCTCTACACCTTGGAATATTCGTAATCGGATTTTATCACAATTGCCTATTTTATTAAGAACTATCTCTAAGTCTTGCAAATAAATGGCAATGTAAGGCATTCCATCGACACTAAATACTATAACATCAATACAACATAAGCTATTGTAAATGAAATCATTCTCCAACAACAAAACATCTATCTAAAACCTAACACTATCAATCCTATCCTAAAGACTATCAAACAATAACAAGGAATATTGATTAATATCTGATTAGCATATCATTTATAACTAGTTCTAATCAATAAGCCGATATTACATTCTGATATTTTAATATTAGTAGAACTGCAATGATCTTCATACAAAATCACACCCTAGTCGAAGAAGCCTATGCTAGAAACGCGCGGCAAACTACATCGTTTTTTGCTAAGATATCTTATTACACTTATACTTAGTACTCATATTACTTTAAGGCGATCACTAAGTGGCTCTTGTTCATCGATCAAGTTTTGTATATAAGCACGATCAAGCAATTTTGAAAAAACTGTCAAAGAGATCTATTCAGTGAAAAGCTAATTAGCCGATACAACGAAAATACGCTATAGCTGCATGTCAAAAAATGTAAGCCACACTGTTCTTGCTAAGACATTTTATTATAGTTAAATCTTCTATTCCTTTAAGGGGATCAATAAGTGGCTCTTGTCCATCCATCAAATTATTTTTATTGGCGTGATGAAGTAATTCAGACAAAAATTATCGATAGTATCTGTTCAATAAATGCCAATTACAGCTGAAAATATTTGATAAACCAAAGCAATGATCCAAATTTTAACTGTAAGTAGAAATACTAGTAGTTTAAAGGCAGCATTATTTTTAATCTCACGATCTGGATATCGTAATGTGTTATAATTCAGATTCGAATTATCCTTGAAAAACTTTTCTGCCTTTCGATCTGGTCTAACATTCGTATTCGTCGTACTCAACTTTTTAAGCTATATCATCTGGCTCCTCACTCCATGGTGAATTTTAGATACATGGCAAATTAGTAAACAATACGATCAAACAAGATTGCCTACCTTAATAATAATCAACACTGGAAATAGTATAAGTGAGGCGATGAAAGATCTCGATAATTTCACACATTAGCTACTTAAAAATCCACTAATATCAGGAAACGGCTTTAAAATAAAGCAAAACTAAGTTTTATCACCATAGTCTATCAGCCTATGGATAATAAAGCAGTGGACGTGAAGATTTCATATTTTATTAATGCAAATAACTATTCATAGATTGCCACTTGAATGGAGATCTGAAAGCTTTCGATCGCTGCAGTATGCAATCAGCGGTCATAAGATTATTTTAATCAAGTGTTAACCAATAAGATTGTTTCTTAAATACTTTCCTGCTGCCATGTAAGACTGTTTTATTCTTGTACGACACTAGAACTATTTATAGCCTATTCTGCAAAATTCTATTATCTCTCTATTTTGCTGATTCGACAAAAAGAAAAAATAGGGAGGATATTGAATAAAATTTATATATATACTATTCTGACAATTGAAGTTTGTCGAAATAAATAAGGTTAAAAGAAGTAGAAAAATAATGTGATGCTTCCTTATTATTGAGTTATATTGATAATTAATGCACAGCTGGGTATGGAGAGTTCGGTTAATTATTATTAAAATGCTTACAGATAAGATTTTATTGTAATACGCTTATTTTATGTCCAGCTCGTTGTGTTTTCACTCTTAGTCGTTAACGTTAGCACGAGGGACTTTGATACACTCCTCCTAGCAAGCTTACTAAAAGTCTCTTTTATTTAGGATTTACTGCATTTAAATAATATAGCCATAATAACGTATTATATATATGTTATATATATGTTATATACCGTTATCTTAGTAATTCATTACCTTATCTTATGCTAACACATTAGATGCAGTACAACAGCTTACTGTATTCTAACCCTAACATAACATCACTTCACTTAACAAAATAAATTAAGCGATATAAATTACTCCATAGATATCATCATTGCAAATATTCCATGTTTTTTTTTGGTGACACGCTATACTATCATTACAATGAAAACATGCACATTTATTTATAATCCTGAATCTACATTCTACATTTTACTGCACTATATAATCATCTAGTTTCTTGGGCATCTTGACAATACGCCCGGTTCTCGTACTACGCTGTTCTTTTCCTATGGCTGGATTTTGTTATTCTAGTACTGAGTGTCTTCTGATCGACTGGTTATCATCGGTTGAGTTGTTTGGTACAGTATCTATATCGTCTTCCAGAGAAGTATAGCCATGACTAGCTGTAGCTACCTTCCTTATGTGCCTTCGATTTCGTCTATAACTTCTACCTTGCATAGATTTCAGAATATACGACCGAGGTGTGTTATGAGGCTTTATGGCTGTAGCCGGTATCCAAGTACCTTTAAGTAACGTAACTAATGAATCTTCTCCCTTTACAACTTGACCACTAGTTTACAAACACAATATACATTGCATGAAAATCGAAAAATTTTCTTAATTAGCAAACCAATCGTGAATACGCGTGGCGTTAACTCTTTTCAGAACCACCGTGAACAATAACCAACACTGAAAATAGCATCAGGGAGGTGATGAATGATTGAGATAATTTCACACATGAAGTTGCGAAAAAATCCAACCCTTTAATCCCAGATGACGGTAATTACCGACACTTTTTTGGTTCCTGTAACCCCAGTGACGGGTATTACCGACACTTTTTTTGGTTCCTGTAGTCCCAGTGACGGATATAACCGACACTTTTTTTTAGTCGCGAAATCCCAGTGACGGCTTTTCCCGTCACTAAATGCAGTTAATTTAACTAGTTCCTGAGCGTTTATCAAGTAAGTAACCCTGTAACTTATATAGGAAGTCAATAGTGGGAATACTGGACTCTGCCCAGCAATTTTTGTATTTGTCTTAAGCTGGATAGAAATATCAGAAAACCACTTGAAAATAAAGTAAACAGAGCCTTATCACCATAGTCTATCAGTCTACGGATAAGAAAGCAGTGAACTTGATCATTTCTTATTTAATTAATTCAAATAACTATTTATGGATTGCCATTCTAATAGAGGCTTCAAAACTTTCGATTGCTCCGGTATGCAGTTTGTGGTCATATAATCTTTTAATCAAGGGCTAACCAACAAAATTGCCGCGTAAGCAGCTTTCTGCTGCCATTTAGCACTGCTTTTATTCTTCTATGACACCAGAATTATTATTGCCAACTCTGTAAACTTCTACTATTTCCATTTTGTTGAGTCGACAAAAAGAAAAAGTGTGTGGATATTGAGTAAAATTTATGGATACTTGCCAGCCAATTGAACTTTCTCCAGTTCAATAGTAAACATTTTTTTATAATCAGCTTATTGCCCCGTACAGCATCGATATGGAAGCATTTAAAATTTGCAAGCAAATATTAGCAAATTATCTTCTACTGCTACAGCGTTAATTATTTCATTCTACTGATACAGTAGGATGCAAGCGATCTAACATTGACTCTACAATGACTACTGCTTTGAAAAATGAAATTAGTTCTTGTGATCAATTTGTTGTAGCCATATCCATTTTCATGTAGTAGTAATCTCTCCTATATGTAGGTTTAACTCTTGAAAAATTGGGGTAGTTTAGCACGGAATGAAAATAATTAAAACTGTTGAAGCTACGATCGAAATCTTGTCATTGCAGTTTATTCAAAAAGGGAATAATGGCACTTGTTTAGCTACTCAGTATTTTTCCTACAAATTTTAATTATACTATTAAAATCTTTGATTAGTCAAATCGTGAATGGTAATAGTTTAAGTTGTTAAAGTTTGGATAGATGAAGCTAATCTTGTAACTGCGGTTTATAAAAAAGGAATAACAGTACACTTACGGTACTGAGTACATTTCCTAACTATTCTTGTTTTTATTAATTTTGGGTTGGATCCGTCGATTTGTTTAGTGTCTACTACTTTGTTTGCTTTCAACTCTTAATTGAAACTAATTTTTGATTTGATAAACCGAATTCATTAAAAGATGACGTGTCAATATTTGTGGCAAGTATTAGTTAGTGGTCTACTATTGCATATCTTAAGATCTATCATTTATCATTTTGTTTTAATCATGCAGTTTCGATACTTGTATACAGCCATTAATTTAGAGATCAAGATTCTTATTCCTGCCCCTATCTTTAAATTGCAAGATGTTGCTAACATTATTATAAGATGCTGTCACAACCGAGCTTGCAGCATAAAAATTAATGGGGTTCTTTCCACTAAAGTAGCCTTAACTATCTAAGCAACTAACTCTAAGCACTCTTCAATCTATCAAACTTAGATTCGAATCTTAGACGATAGAATACTTAGGATAAGAATTAAAACTTTATTCTTAAAGCTATTTATTAAAATGACCGATTGAACTCACAACTTACAACCTACTATTAACAACGTTAACCATTTGTTATCCACTAATTTATCAACTCTCTCAATTAAGAACTTTGAGGTTTTTATATAGCCTAATAAACTTCGTTGTTGCAAAACAATAATAAATTTATAGCCAAGTCTACATAATGAATATAGCAAGAATCAAAACACACTTTCTATGACGTTCAATAGTAGTTAATTGATGGCTAGGTGCTAATACATGATTCATTACTCAACAAAATTATACAAACAAGGTTTTATTTCAATACGCTTATGCTATATCCAACTTTATAAATCCAGTCAATTGGATTTTATTGTCAGCAATAGATTACTGATATTAAGAATTATGTTGAATATATTTGTGAGAGAGAAGCTACACATCGTTAAAGAAATTGGTATTGAAAGAGCAAAGTTCCTCAAATCTCTAAATAGAAAGATTAAGGTCGATTAAGATAGAACTTGCTGAATCACCACTAATTTACAAATCAAGCCACTAGCTTTACACCCAGATCAAGATGATTCATGTAGTTTAAAATAATTACTGATTAATTCACGATAAATAGATTATGTATTCCTGATAAGCAGGATTATCATTCGATACAATATACATAGAAGGGTTACTTGTATTATCCACAACGGAATGTATACGTTCATTTTGGCTTCCGGGAATGATTGACAAATTTGGCTTACCACTGCCGCTTGAATAACCACAGATTCCCGTTAGAACACGCACTAGTAATAATGAATCGCCATATCCCCGCGAAAAAGATACGTCGACAGCAAAGTAAGTTCCTGTACCATATGTAGAACCTAGCAAATGGGAAGAAAAGAAATACATTGAACGATTTTGATCCTTTTCTTAATTTCAGCGAGACAAGACTTTTTTAATTTTCAAAATTATTCAGTGATGTACGGGAAACGGGTAGGTATGAAAGTATACCTTTACAAAATTTACTATTTTACATTTACTAATATAATGTGTAAAATATTCATATGGTTTTATACATACAAACCTGCAGCTGTCCCTGAATAATCTCTATCAAAACCATTCCTACATATCCCAGCTATTTTACTACTAGCAGTACCATGAAATAGACGTCTTGTACTAGCGTTTAATATAAAGGAATAACAGCGTTTGCTTAGCATACTTTGTACATTTTCAAACCATTCTTATTTTTTTAGCTCTGTGTTATATCCGCCACTTTGTTTAAACTCCATTACTTTGTTTGCTTCCAACTCTTAATCAAAAATAATTTTTTGATTCGATAAAGCGGGTTAAAAGATGACATGTCAATGATTGCAGCAAGTATTATTTGGTGATTAACTATTGCATATCTTAATATCGATCATTTTGCTCTAATGATCCAGTTTCGACGTATGTATACAATTATTAATTTAGAGATCAAGCTTCCATCTTTAGATTTCAAGATATTGCTAGTATTGACATAAATTACATTAAACAAACGTATCCAAATAATGTGATGCTTTCTTCTTATTGAGTCACATTGATAGTGTACAGCTGGGTAAGTGGGATTCGACTAGTTATTATTAAAATGCTTACAGATAAGATTTTATTGCAATACACTTATGTAATATCCAGCTTTATAAATCCAAATAACTGGATTTATTATCAGCGATAGATCGCTAGAGATAAGAATTATGTTCCAGCTTTTATCTTTAAATTGTGCGGTGTTATGATAATGTTGAAGGCACGCTAACAGTTTAGATTTTAGTACAATCAATTCATTTGATTGACAAATCTATTATTATCGTCCTGATTTGGCCAGATAATGAGTTTCATGCAACCTTTTGCAGTGTTATTACTAGATAGAATGATTACGTGATTACGTTAGTTCGTGATAGCATTATATCCTATGAATTAATGAGCTGATCATAACTCGCTTAAAGCCAATAAATGCGATAACTTTTGACAATTTAACCGACTCAGTCATGGTTCAGTATTCAAATTATAGTACACTTCATTATATCCAAAATATGATTAATCAACATCATTCAGCTATATGAT